ATTGATTAAGTAGGACAACCTAGGAGTCTATGGAAGGTTTGCTCTCCCACCACCCGCACCCTGTGCTTAGCTTGCAGTCTTACGCCCAGGGAAGAGAGAATTTCTCCGGACTTCCCAGCTCTGCACATCCGAGCATTTGCTTCTGAGTGACACATTAAACAGCTGCTTTGCTTAAGCAAGATGTCTCCTGATCCACGGACAGCTCCCATATCCCTGATTGGTGCAAAGGACCTTCATTCCCTGCACCAAACGCAGCCATAAACTGCCTTGTTTTATTGCTCGGCTTCTTCCTCTGATGGAAATGGATTCACTCAGGGAATGGTAGTATACTAAAGCATCTGCTGGAAATGACAGTGGAAAAAGGAAAGGGAGGCTGAATGCAGCAGCATGAAAGATACCCAGGCTGGGTTTTTAAAAGGCCACCCCTCTAGGAAATTAAAGTGCTTCAACAGTCGATTTCACTTTCATAAATCTGAATGGAAATATATTGCAACTGTGCCCATAACTTTAGTTTTTAGCTCCTTTGCCTGCTTAATTCCAACTCTGGAACTTGGACTTTAAAAGCCATCTTAGATACTTAATGGAAAATCAGAATGAAGGTGCTGCTTTTTTACTACTTAGTTTGCCCCATCACAATTAAACCTTTTCTGAGTGTTGCACATTAAAACTTCAGTTTTATAGACACATTTCAGCTTTGACTCTTCATAGAGAGAAAGCCAGGCCTGTGGGCTGCAGTTGTACGCGTGCAGAGGACTTTCCCAATCTTTCTTTACTTGACTGCCGTTCTTCCAGCAGGCAGGGAGGTTTTCAGTTAAGCAGCCAATTAACAGATAAGCAGGTCTGCTGATCTGGAGGATACTTTTGTTCTTTTACTGTTGTGCTTTTATGTGCTTTCAACACATTTGTTTTGTTTTAACCAAGCTCGCTCGCTTGCACTCTCTCTCTCTCATTAGCTACCTTGAATGTCATTTTCTTGATGGAAAGGCAGAATATGAACCAAATAAACCAATCAGTAAATAGTTCGACCCTTTCTGTTGCACCATTCATTCCTCCATGAGGTAGGAAGGCACATTTATCTAGGCTTCAACAGCAGCCCCTCCACAACTCTGTTTATGTTCAGGAAAGCACTTCTCTGCTTTTTAAACATTTGGCTGCATGTTTGTTTCTGTGGATGGATCCAAAATAGACCAGCCAGTTTGGTGTCATTCCAGCATTGCACAAGGCAGACCTGGGTTCAAATCCACCCACCGCCTTCAGCTTGAGTGGCCCTCAGGGACCCTGCATCTGTCATTCCCTCCTCCTAAGCCACCCCGTAGGTTTACTGGGAAGATCAAATGAGGGAATCAATTATGTGTGTCATCTAAGCTACTCTGAGGATGCATAACAGGAATGACTAAAAAGAGCAGATGTATTTTGCTGACCATGATCTGGACGTGCTCTCTGTGTGAAGCACTTCAAGCAGTCAAAAAGTGCTCTAAATATTCAGATCTAAACTTAAGTGCGAGGGGGTGGGATAAGTGTGTGGCTTCAGTTTTCCTGGTTTTCCTAATGAGAAGAGTTGTCTGAGTCATCAGATTCCCTTCCAAGAGCTGAAGCGTTCAGGCTAATTAATTATAGTATGTTACAGTCATGGATGTCCTTTTTCTACTTAGCCACAATGGAGTATGAATTCCAGTGGTGCTCAGATGTGGATCTCCATGCTTAATTTACTTCTGCCCCATTTGATGTACAAATTGGCATGGCTTTAAGCATATCAGCTCCGTCTACTCTGGCACCCTCCCCGCTCCAAAGCACTCAGGCGTTAATGATTAAGGAGGACCTCTGGTTTAGCACATGGCCATATGGGTTGTTCAGCTTTCTCCGTTAGGCCTTGCTGATTTGGGTGCTTTACTCTTCCAGCATGTGTTTGATGTATTTCTGTGAAATTGTTCATTTTAAATTGTGGAACTCTTTCATGCAGAATTGCAGGGGGTGGGCAGTAAATGTTCTTACCTGAGCTTTTAGATATACACTCTCCCCCAATAATTGAAATTAAACAAGAAAATTGTAAGCACTGTTTCAGTGCTGAAAGTATTATGGGTGATGTATCCTATTTATGCAGCCCTATTCAATGTACAGAATAGGAACATTGCACGGAGAAGTAATGACAATCCAAAAGTACGTGTTCTATGCCAATGTGCTCTATCAGCCGGTAGTTTTCTCTAGATAGGTTTTTTTTGGTAATAGTCCCACACTGCTGTATTCACTTGGAAACTGCATTCAGTAGATCACTTTTTAAAAAATGGATAGGTTTTCCCTAAAGGAAGAAAAATATATAAGGATCAGCATTGATTATATGCTACGGAACAATTAATTAATTGATAATTTGCCTCCTTTGTCTCCATAGCAAGTAATTCTAATCTATACTTTTTACAGAAGGGGTCAATGAGCTTGAAAATGTATGGAGTTGGAGCAGATGCCTCTACGGCAGCTGCACAATGCGGCAGGAGGTGACAGTTTCCAGTTCGTGTCTGCAGCAGCAGCATGGAGAACAATTGGCTCAGTGGCTTAACTCAGGCAGAATTTGGGTTGCTTTGTTTAGAAGGAATAACTTTAGCTTCAAAATTCTCTATCTTTGGACTTTGGGATCTAATTCTATCTAACAAACAATATTTAATATTTAGGCCAATTTTATTTTTAAGTGGTCATTTCTGTGCTAAATTTGATGACAACGTGTGTCCCTATAGCTGCTGTTACTTTCCTCTGATGTCCTCTACATGTCAAGGAACTCTTTGTTTTGCTCTGGGAGTTTTTATGTACTCACGGATACTTTGCAATGCAGTCAGGGGAGGCATGCAGCGCCAATGTCAGAGGTGTGGTGCATCTACTCTGGGTTTTGGATGGAATGTTAAAGAAGGTATTGATGGGGCTGAATCTATTTTTGTTATAGGGTTTGGCACCATGGAGAGAGCCTTTAAAGTACAGATTAGAACTCAAACTAAACGGTTCCACCAACATTTGGAGCCACCAACCTCCACAGAGTGCAGTCTTAGGCATTTCTAGTCCAAACAAAGTCCAGTGGTATTTCATGGGAGTTAATCCCATGTAAATGTGTACAACCTAACAGTTTGGTCTAACATGCATCTACTCAGAAGTAAGTCCAACAAAGTTTAGTGGAGCTTAGATAAGTATGCTTGGAATTGTAAACTTAGACAATTACATTGGCAGAGCTTGCTTCTACATGTGCTACATTTTCCATTGGTACTCAGAAGTCCCACCTGAACTGAATTAATTTTTTAAGTCTAGTTGGTAGCTTAATATGCATCAATTGTCAGCATTAGTTGATTGAAGCCCTATTTATTCTACTGGATCTATTCTAACTATAACTAGTGTGGCTAATATGTGAGATCTGCATAAAACTGAGCTCTCCTATCAGCTGTTCTACAGTGCAAGCCTTTTCATGTCTCTTGCTTTACTATGACTCTTTACTCTGAGGTTTGTATCTGGCAGCTTCCACCAGAAATATTTGATGGTGGCATGGAGACAAACCAAAAGATAGCAGCCAGTCTAGTGCAGCAACATTTACAGATTATATGGCTTGCTTGCTAGCTATCTTAATGTAATCTAATGCTTACTTGCTTGTTTGCTTGCTTGCTTCTATCCATCCATCTATATCTATGTATCCATACCCTATTTACCAGAGATACATGGAATCTGCAATTCAGAATACATATTATTGAACTCAATGGGGCTTTCTTCTGTATAGATCCATATAGGATTGGCAATGTAGATATTCCAGTGGAGTACATTATAACTCTGGAACAAGGTTTAAGGATTGCAGACCCAACTTAAGTCCACAAATTCCAATTACTAATGAGTGTATCTCATTAGTAATTAGCAATTACCAATGTAATTGCTTTGAAGACTTAACAATGAGAATGTATCCCAGCCTTTTGAACTACAATTCCCACCATCTCTCATCATTGGACATGCTGGGGTGGATGGTGCTGAACTCCATGATAGCTGGAGGATAACACTGGATCAGGCAGATGCATTCTTTTCCTGAACTCTCTCCCCTCCACTCTCTCTCTCTTTCTGTGTGTGTTTGTATGGGAAAGAGAGAGGGATTTAGTGGGGAACACCTCGCTTCAGTTGGTCTCAGCTGAGTCTTTTATTTTCCTAGCAACCCCCCCACCAACTGCTAAAGCTTTGTGCTTTTCCTGTTTCTAAGAACAAGTATTCATGATCTGCATTACCAGATGATATAATCAGTTAGCTCTGAAGCCCAGCAGCTTCAAACATTCGGCTGAAGAATGATCTGCTGATACTTTTGATCCTAAGAAATATCTACTGATCCCAAGAAAAGCAGGAAGCAAACACTTTGCTGGGGCTACAATAAATCTGCTCCACTGATGCCCCCTCCTCCCTGACAGGTTTTGAACCTATCCATGTCTGCGAGTGATTTCTGATCCTAGCAGGTGAGAAGCAAGATTTTAATTACTCCATGCGGAGAAAGAGCTACCCCCTCCTCTAAACAGGCTCATGGAAGGGGAAAGAGACATAATAGACTTTGCCCAGCTGCTGTGCTAAATGCCTGGGCAAGAGAAGTGCTCTTGGACTTTTGCGAGGCCGCCTGAGCTACCCAATGAAGGCAACGGTTGGCGTGAGCGGGAGGGAGGGAGGAAAGGGAAACAACGACATAACACCCACTCTTTCCCGCAGAGATTTCAGTCCTAAGTGGAGGGATCTTTGGAATACTTCCTTGAGTTCAGCCTTGCTGGCTGCACGGACGGCGACTTGGGACAGCTCCCTGACGTGGCCGGAGAGCGCCTCGCTCCGCGGCGGCAGATCAGCACCGAGAGCCTTGGACAGCTCCAGCCGGCGCCTTCCGGGCACCCGCCGCCGCCGCGCCGCCGCGACCTCCGCGCCTCGAGCCGAGCGCCCGGGCAGCCGCGCAGCAGCGCCGCGGCCAGGAAACCCCCCCGCGCCGGCCGCCTCCTCGCGGGCTCGGGCTTGGCAGCATGGACCTGGGAAGGCGCGGGAGCCGCTCGCCCGGCCCGGGACCCCGCGGGCTGCTCCTCCTCGCCTGTGAGTATAGGCGGCCGAGGCAGATTTTCGGAGCGCGCCCCGCGCCGCCTTGCCGTGCCTTAGGGAGCCTCACCGAACTTGCCCGCCCTTAGGTCGGTTCTGTTTGGTGGTCTGCTTGAGAAAGGGAGAGAAAGCTCCACGAATTTCCTCCCGGGGGCGGGGGTGGGTGGGCTGGGGGTGAGAGGTGAGTACAGTTACTCCGCTTGAGTCTTCTGGACTCAAGGCTAAGTCGATCAGCAGGCGGGGATTCGTAGGCTAAATCCCAAGTAGTGTCAGGCTGTTTTCCCGCAAATGGCACGGAAAATGCCCCTTGGAGAAAACTCTCCCTCCAGCTTAGCTCGCAAGCCACGCGACTGACCCTGCAAGTCGTCCGTCCCCCCCCCCCACCCCCCTCCCCCTCTCCCTCTCCCTCCCCCCCCCCCCCCCCCCCCCCCCTCCCTCCCCCCCTCCCCCCCCCCCCCCCACCCCGCACCAGCAGATGCGCTAGCCAGCGCCGTGGCAGAGCAAGAAGTGGAAAACCTCTCTGGCCTCTCTCCTAACCCCGAAAAAGCCATCTTTGTGGTTCGTGAGAATGGGTCCATCTGTCTCATGGCAGAATTTGCTGCGAAGTTGATTGTCCCCTATGACGTGTCGGCCAGCAACTATGTGGATGTAAGAATTCTTCGCTTGGTTTCCCCTCGCCACCCACACCAGTCCACCAGTTTGGCTTGTTTCACCCTCGAAACGAGTGAAACAATTCGGGTTTAACATTCTGCAAAGGTCTGTTGCCTGAAATTGCTGGCTGTGTGTTATGTATATCCGTGTGAGTGTGCGTGAGAGAGAGACAGGAAGAAAGAGGGAAAGAAAATAGGAATAATCCAGAACATGATTCCAACCACGGTCCCTTAGTTTCTTTATGTTGCCAAGGTAATGCAACTTCTTTCTCTCTGTCTCTCTGTCTCTCTCTCTCTCGCGCGCGCAAACGCACACACAAAAACCTACACAGACACTTTAAAAAAAAAATAACCTACTTCTAATTTGTAAATACTTAAATCTGAAGTGAGAATATGCTGCCCACTGGAGTATGAACGCCCCCGTCTCCACCCCCAGCCCATTGTTTTCCCGCAACGCTCGCGCGCACCCACGCCTCTCTGCATCTGTTTGTGTGAATACGCGCACACAATTTGATTCGTTGCTTAAGTAAAGTGCATCTAGTTGGGGGTTTGGAAGGAGAGGGTTGCATTTTGTTTTCCGTGGGAATGAACAAGTGATCTGGCAATGCAGTTATTTATCTTTTAGCACAGGCAGCTGAGGGGAGACTCTCGTATACGTGGTTATTATCCTGTGGGCTGTTTGCAAAATCCAGGCTTTCCTTTTGCATTAGCTGTGCTAAGGAACTACGATCCTACGCATACCTTTGTTCATTTTATCTGTTCTGCGTTGACATTCCACAGCGTTAGAAAAAGAAATGGCAGGGGAGACTCTATCACATTTCCCCAGATAGTGTCCGTGGAAGAATTGCAATCTTCTATCAGATCCTTAATTTTAAAAAAGTATTTGCGGTTGACACTGATCATGTGTGTATTCAGACGATCCCAGAGCAAGCCTATATCCCGCTTTCTCGGGCAGCAGAAGAGCGAGGGAAATGCGGCAACAATGAATCCGAGCTCCAGATTTCGTGGATAGATAAAGCGTACACCCTCCGACTTTTCTTCGTCAAGGTAAAATGATGGTGATCGCGCGGTGACAGCAGAACTTTAAAAAAGAGAGTAGAAAGAAAAGGAAAAAAAAAAAAAACAGGGAAAGAAAGAACTCAAGAAGAAAATCAGGAGGCCAGGGAGAGCCCAGGAGACAGTGAAGGAATGCGACCTTAATAAATGAGAGTGAGAAGCAGAATATGTAGAATAAATCGGAGTCGCCTGTTCGCCAAGGAAAGCTGGCGAGGCGCTTCTTTTGCCCTTGCAGCTTCCCCTTGACCCGCGCCAGTTTCAGGTCTGGCCGAAGCAGGCGCCCCAGGAGGGAGAGCCCCGAGTCCCCGAGCGGCGCCTCAGCCCTTTCCCGGCGAAAGGGGGCGCCGACGCCGAGGGGCAGAGGGTGGCGCAGCGGGGCCGCCTTGACCTCGATCCGTCACGGCCCTTTCCTTGTCTCCCTCTCCCGCACTGCAGGAGAGTCGCAACACAAGCGCCGGGCCGGAGGCATGGTGGAAAATGAGCAAAGTCCAGTTCGTTTACGACAGCTCGGAGCGCACCTACTTCAAGGAGGCCGTCAACCGTAAGCGAGGGCCCAGCCGGGGCCTAGCCTCCCCGCTGCGGGCGGGCACCGGGGGCGCGCTCGGCGGGGGCCAGGAGCCAGCGCGCTCGGGACTGGCCAGGCCGCACAGCGGGGCTGAGCGGCGGGGCTGCGTGGCCCAGGGGGCCGCCCGGTCAGGCTGGCCACGGCGATCCGCGGGCGCGGCCGGGGGTGGCCCGCATCGCCCGCCCCGCTCCCGCCCCGGACTTGCCCGGCCCTTGCACGTCGCGGATCTCCGCAACCTCCCGCAGCCCGCACTGCGGCTGAAAGCGCAGGCCTGCGCTGCCCCGACGGCCTCGCCTCCCCCGAACGCCCCTTCTTGGGGGAGTCTCGCCCTGGCGGCCTGACCAGCGGATTGGGGTGGGTTTAGGCTCGGGATTTCTCCCTCTTCGCTGCTCCGCCCGGCTGCAGCTTCCCCCCGTCCCGATCAAGTGCGCCAGCCTGGCCTTTTCCTTCCCTGAGCTCGGCAGCAACCACGATTCTGCTTTTGGCTTTCCTCAAGACTGGCGCGCAGAGGCCAGGATGAGGGCGATCCGTCAAGTTAAGGCGGCAAGCAGCAAGCTTGGACGCATGTGGCCCTCAGGCGATTAATTCCGGTCTCCTGAGTCAAGAGCTGAGTCAGCGGCAAGGAATTGTGCTGCTGTCCCCGCCGTGTTCCGAGACGTCGGGCAGAAATCCTACGAGCTTCCCAGGGAAGAAGCCCCTTGAACGCAGTCGGACTGACCTCTGAGTCGGCAGCAGCAAGCCCCGCTCCCTTAGGACGGGGCTGCCCACAGCGCGATGGGTCGGCCCGAAGCAAGCGGAGAGTCGCATGGCGATATTTAACGACACGCAGCACAACATCCTCCGTAAACCTGCTTTGCAGGGATATGCGCAAAATGGCCAGGGAGAGGAAGGAAAGCTTCCGCTCTCACCTGCAGGAAAGGCCATCTTCCCTCCTTTGCGCTCAGCTCTCCAGCAACTCTGCAGGACTAAAGCAGTGTTTGTGTGTGTCCCGGACTCTCAGAGCTGCAAACAGAACCGCTCTCCCCTGCTCACGACTGCGTACCCAAAGCTTTACTTGCTGGGTCATCTATTGCCTAAATTGGCTCAGTCTTTTAGGCCCAGCTTATGGGTTCCTGGTTTTCACAGAATCGGTTTACTGTTGTGCCTGCATTTATTGTGCGGTTCTAGGCACTTTGGATTGCAGCTCTTTGGGCTCTATAGGACAGTTGTGGCCACTGAAGCACAACTAATAAAACTTCCTCCATTTTCTTATATTCTTTGTCTGAATTTTAAAACCAACACTGTCATCCTTTAAATAGGAAAGGGAAAAAGAAAAAAAAGGGGGGGGGAAGCAAATCCAGTTGTCTCCATTTCCCCTTCACTACTGAATTGCAGCTGAAATTGTAGCAGTTTCAAGACACACACAATCTTGTTTGCATCCAAGTGAAATAAAATTTATTTTTTTAAGATATTTATGTACACATTGTTGATATGCCTTTCATTTTTAAAAGCACAGTGGAAGTTATTGCATTTCATTTATTTCATACCTTGTCGGCAAAAGCCCTCCTAAAAGGCATTTTCTTGGTGTCGGTCCTTGTTGCTGGATGCCATCTGCAGTGCAGAATGTTTCCAGAGAGAGTGTCAGTATTGTCTGTTGTTGCAGTGAAGCAAGTACAAAGCACCTGCAGTGTTTAGAAATCCCATGCCTCCTAAATATTTCCTGGAAACAATTCCTGATATTTGGAATCTTTAACTCTGCCTTATAGCTTTCCCTGCTGTAAGTGTAAATTGTGGAAAAATTAATTTTGGATTAAAATACATGTATAGGGAAATTATTTGTGCTTTTTCGATATGGTTTGAAATGCACCAGTCCTCCTGGTTAATAGTTCATTGGGATTTTTCATCATAGCTTAGCCATACTTTTAAAAAATGTGTTACTCATCTTAAAGACTCATAGTGCAATCTTAGACATGCATACTCAGTAAATGGACATAGAATTTCTGCCTTAAGGGTTCAGTCCACAGAGTCTCTCAGCAGGATAGCAGAGTGTACCTGAAATCCCACTGAACTTAAGGGAGCTTAATGCTGGATAGACCTGCATGTGGTTGGCACTGTAGAGCCTACTCAAATACTAGGAAATGTTGTCAATTGCAAGCTTTAGGAGGTGACACTCATTCATTGACACTTCTGTTCTCCTGGCAGCTGGGAAGCACACAGTCAGCACACATCACCTTTCAGCTCTAGTCACCCCAGCTGGGAAGTCCTATGAATGTCAAGCGCAGCAGGCCATCAACTTGGCCTCCAGTGACCATCAGAAATCTGTCGTCCTCTTGCTGTCTGAGGTCCGCCTTCAGCCCTTTGACATCAGCTCTGATTACGTCTTCAGTGAAGGTAAAGACCGTCCAGGTGCTGGGGGAGGTTTAGGTATCTTCTGGAAGGAGAAGGCAGTGGCCCTTGACCAGGACAGCAGGCAGGATCAGTGGAAAGTGGGGCTGGAGGAGGACTGCCCAAAGCAGGGAGCGGCATTGTGCTAAAATGGGTGAACATTTTGCCATGGGGAACATGCACACATTCTGGTTATGAGCCATCCTGAGATGGTTAGAAATACCCCAAATAAATAAATGAATGAATATTGGATTTTAAGCATTGTGTTCCTATGTGCTGACTTTGGAGAGTCCTTGCTGAGCTGCTTTCCTTGATACGGTAGAGTATTTGGGAGAAGGGGAGTTCTTGCTGGCCTACGAGTATCAGGAAGGAGCAGAGGAATGTCTCCTGTTTGTCATTGAAGGTGACTGGCAATGCATGATGAATAGCTCTCGAGTGGCAGTAGTGGAGTTCTCAAAATTCTTGGGTCATGATGGTGGTACCTGTAGCATCTGCATTATCTTATACTGACCTCTTATACTGACCTCTGCCAAGTCAGAGCACTGGCCCACCAGTTCAGCATTGCTGATTCTGACAGCCTCTCCAGGGCAAGTGTCTTTGCTATACTGACCTGCAGATGCTCAGGACTGAACATCTTGTGATGGTGATGGTCCTGTGTCGCACTGACTTGGATGCTGCTCTCTGGGGAGCTGTTCTTGCTTGGGTCTTTCCAGTGGTCCGTGGATTGTGGGGCTTGGTCTTGAATAAGCTTGCTAGAAAGCAGGCGTGTTGAGTATGTCTGTGGTCAGGAGGGAGGACCAGAGTCTGCAGTGAGCCTCCTCCTTAGAACAGGATTGAGCAGCAGTGTTGAACTTCTGGGGTTGTCTTCCAACAATGCCGTGAGCAAGGATGGAAAACGGGACCTGGTAACAGCCTTCAACATTAAAATACAGCAGCTTTACATGTTACATGCCATGTTCCCAAGAGAGTACCCCCAAATGACTTGGACTTCAGCTACTGCCAGCCTCAGCCAGGAGGGTCAATGGTCAGGGATGATGGGGGTCGTGGTCTAAAAATATTTGGAGGGTACCACATTGGAGAAGGCTCTTAGATACCCAAGACAGGTGCATTTCCTTGCCATGCCTGGGGTTTGTCAGTTACACTGTCCTGATGTTCCAGTATCACTAACTGGGACTTTTTCTTCATGACCTCAGCTAGTGATGGCGTTGTCTTGCGGGCAACCCCTCCCTGCTTATGGCTCCATCCCTCAGAAGCTGCTCCTGAGGGTTGGGAGCTGCATCAGAACAGTCCTGGGACACGGGGTCACAGTCACTAGAGAGGGCTAGAGAGGGCAAAAACTGAGCACCTCAACTTGAGTAGCAGAGGCGATTTCCAGTCAGGTGAAAGCAGTGCTGCACACAAGCTGAAGTATTTTGAAATGGCAATTAAAAATTCCTCCTTTCAAGTGCTTATTGTGTGGCAGGGGAGGATGCAGTAGCTCAATAATAATTATTCAGAACTCAAGTCATAATTATTCAGTGAAATACTATAAATATCTGAAATACTATACTATAAATAACTGAAAAAAGACAATGTTGAAATGCTTTTTATAACTCTCTTTGTATCACTTTGTCTAGTTCTTTTCTTAATTTTCTGAGCAGAAAAAAAATTGCAAGTTTTTATAGACCATTCCCTTTCTTATATAATGGATATTCAATATATTTCACTGGCACGTACAACTTGTGTGACCAAACTGGGAGAGTTGCAGCTCTATGGAATGCTTTAGTTGTATGTGCCACTGTATATAAATGTGTACATATGGATTCTGGATCCCAGAAGGATGCAGTTAGTCACTTATATATTACAAAATGTTTCAGCTTGGACCTTGTGCAGCTGCTCTATGTGAATCAGATGGTACTATCATCATGTGACACACATACCCTGCATATATGCATTATCAAATACAGATTAAATAATGATTGGCAACCCGTATGAGTGCCAGTCCTGTATCCATGGATAGCAACAAAACACAACAGCCTTGCTGGACTAGGCCAAGAATCCTAAGTAGTCCAGCATCCTGTGGCCAGCCAGATGGTTCTTAGAATCCCAGATAAAGGGCATGAAGATACCACTGTTGTTTTGAACCCCAAAACTCACTATTCAGTGACACTCTGGCTCTGAACCTGGCAATTTCATTTAGCTAGTCAGGACACTGTCAAACTGGAGGGGGAGAGCTCTGGATGTCATTGTGTGAGAAGCCATTGAAAGAGTTTGGGGCATTTAGCTGGAGAAGGGAAGATTAAGGAAAGATGTGATTAGGACCTTCAAATACCTGAAGGACTGTCTGGCCAAAGATGAAGCCAGACGGAGTGAGAGCTCAGCTGGAGCTCTCTGCTGCACTGGACAGCGCGACTGGAGAACCAATAGGCAGAATGGCAGGGATGCTGATTTTGGCTACGACTTGCTCATGGCAGTAGCTGCTTGCCAGTGGAATGGACTGCCTTGCGAGGTTTTGGGTGGTCCTTTTAAGCAGTGCCCAAATGGCCATCTCATGGCAATTTCTAGGCAGCAACTACAGGGTTGCCTTCGGGCAGCATTCTGCGCATGCTCAGACAGTACAAGCCCTACAACTGGCTGGGAAATGCTGAGGGCTTTCCTGTGCCTGACCATATGCAGGATCGCCTGTACACTGAGCTGTATCCTGCTCTGCAGAACCTGCTTTGAGCAGGAGGTCGCTCTGGGTAACCCTGAGTGCCCTTTTCAGCTCCGTGATCCTGTCATGGCTAACCGCCACTAACAGACCTTTCCATGACTTTGTTCTACCTGCTTTTAAAGTCTTCTAAGCTGGCGGGACCCACAGTTTAATTCTCTGTAGTAGGAAGAAATACTTTCTCTTGTCTATTTGGAATCCGTTGAACGAGCACTTCTACAGGATGACCCCAAGCACCCATCTGCAGGCTGTTGAGGGAGAAAATGTTCTCTCTCCCTTCATGTCTTGTATTAAGGATAGGCTGAACCTCGTTCCTCCTCCCCTTAGTTACCCACTCCCCAAAAAAGAATGATCTGACTCTTTTGGCTATTCTTTTCAGCACCTTTTCCAACTGCGTTATACCTTTTTGAGATGAGCCAAGCAGAACGGTGCGTAATCGGCCAAGGGAAGCACCACTGCAGTACAGCCATGATCATCCCCAGCATGGGCTCTCCCTGCTTTGACTACTCTCAGGCACTTGCTGATGTTGACATGCAACCATCCATCATGATCCCAAGGTTGTGGAAGATGGGATAGAGCAGAGGAGGGAAGGGAAGGGAAGGGAAGGGAAGGGAAAGGAAGGAAGCCAGAGAAGCCTTGAAGGGAAGGGAAAACCTGTTGGTACAACAGGGAGGGTTGTGCTGAAGGTCCAAACAGTCAGATGAGCCGAACAGATATGGCTGTTCCTCTCTCCTCACCCTCTTCCTTCCTCCCTCCCTCCCATTCCTCCATGCAGTATTCCAGGGGACACAACTGGGAGGAATGAGGCTCCTTTCTCTGACAGCTGCAAGAGGAGACTTTGGGGGCCGGATCCATCGTCACGCACAAGTAGCTGTGTGGCCCTGCAGAATGGAGCAGCGTTGCTTGGTTGATTCCTTGCTGATACCTGGGAGGCTTCCTCCAGAGCAGGAGCAGGGAAGAGGGAAGCTGCTGCCTTCCAGCATGTCCCCACCCCTTGCGCCTGCACCCCTTGGTGCTCCTTGGGTGTCTGGGGTGAAGGAAGAATATCAGCAGCTGCAACTTGAAACCAGCACAGCAGTTGCTGCATGCATGAACGATAAGAGCCTGTTGCTATCTCCTCATAGAGGCAACAACACTCCATCCTTTCCTTTCCATGTCCATGTCCCCACCTGCTGTTGCCAGATCTTTTGACGTTGGTTCATAGCATTGCACGGGCACAGGTCACTACTGGGTGATACTGTGCTGTCAAGGACAGCTCTTGCCTGATAACACAACAGCAGCAGTAACACAGATTGTGTGCATGGCATGTGACATGGCAGAGAAGGGTTTGGAAGGGTCTGGGCTTGAAATGGCTAAAGCAGTGCACAATCTCTCAAAATTTTCCACTTTATTTATGAGCAGATAAAGTGTGTGTGTGTGTTGCCGCCATTGTGGGATGGGGGAAAATTTTGCAACAGTTCTGTAGAGGAAGAGAAATTCTCAATTGTTCCTCACCAGTAAGGCTCACCTCTGACTCACCGTTGGCAGGGCTAGCAACTTCTTCTTTTTTTCAGAAGGTCTCCCTGTTTGTTTGTTTTGCAATGGTGCCGCTAGAAATGGCAGCAGTATTGACTCTATTTGGCAGGCTGACCCCAGTTTTGCATCCAGCACAGGGGCCGTATGGTGGGCAGCTGCAGGGGAGAGGTAGGGCTAGCCCTGAGCCACACTCTGCCCTCCAATTTCCTGAAGGCCCTTTCCCTGCGAAGGAGGCTTCCATTGCTCTGCTGCACACTTCACATGTTCTCTAATGCATTTTGTGGGTTTTTGAGCTTACCTAATGTGTGCAGGGCAGCTGAGGGTGCTGTGGGTTGCTTTCTTCACAAGCAGCACTTGTGAAAGGGACCTTGGGGTGCTGGTTGACTGCAGGCTAAGCATGAGTCAGCAGGGCGATGCGGTGGTCAAGAGGGCGAACGCCACCCTTGGTTGCATAGCCAGAAGTGTGGCTTCTAGATCGAGAGAGGTATTACTGCCACTCTACACGACTCTGGTGCACCCGCAATTGGAGTACTGTGCTCAGTTTGGGGCCCCTCATTACAGAAAGGATATAGCCAGATTGGAGTCAGTGCAGCGTAGGGCCACAAGGTTGGTGGCTGGTTTGCAGGGGATGGGGTATGAGGCAAGACTGAGGGAACTGGGTCTCTTCAGCCTGGAGAAGAGGAGACTCAGAGGGGATATGCTGGTGACATACAGGTATGTGAGGGGATGTCACACGGAGGTGGGTAGAGACCTGTTCTCCCCTGCAGAGGAAGGCAGAATGCGCTCCAACGGAGCAAAGCTCAGGGAGCCAAGGTTTCGTTTGGATGCCAGGAAGCACTTCCTGACAGTCAGGACCCCGAGGGTGTGGAAAGGGGTTCCCCAGGAGGTTGTTGAGGCCCCATCGGTGCGGGTGTTCAAGGATAGGCTGGATGTGCACATGGTGGGCATGTTGTGAGCGGAGCCAGCTGGTGTTGGAGGTCAGACTAGATGGCCCGGGAGACCCCTTCTGACTCGCTCTGTTTCTATGTTTCTATGTTTCTTCTAGCCCTGTTCTTGTGCAGCCTCCCAGGCTGCCTGCACTTCCTAATCTGACCAAGCTCCATGGGAAGAATTACCTCTGGATGTCTTTCCTTGGCTTTAATTGCAGTGTGGGCAGCGGAGGAGCCTTTCAGAGAGATTCCTGCAGGATAGTTTGCACCTCCTGCCTTAGCCACGTTATAAGTAAGACAAGGACAAGAATCCATACACCAACCCAGGAGCATCTCCCTGAAATGTTCTCCTTTGAATGCCTTTTTGAAAGCAGTTACTTTTCCATCCAACTGAATGAGAATGGTTGAAAAGGTTGTGTGGGAGGCATTTTCCGCAAAGTGCTAGAAATGGTGCAAAGGTCAAATGGCAATTCGGTTTGCCTGGTTTGAACTGCTCGATGTGCTCCCAGTGTCCACACATCTCCAGGACGAAGGAATACCACACCATATCCCAATCTTCCTTTTGCTTGGCTTCTCACAGCGGTAGCCTGGCATAGGAAATGGGCACAGAAGCTCAAGCCCAGAGGCCAAACCTGACCTGATCCAGCCATCTGGGGGTCTTCAACAGGCCAGGTGTCTTTCAGGGGTGGTTGGTGTTATCTTTGGCTGGGGCAGCGTTTCTCCCATTCTAAACCATTGAAATGTCTCTTCTAAGGCTTTGTTACTTTGTTAAGAGCTTCAAGCTGCAATAGAACTGTATTTTGACCCCATGCCTATTTTCTTAGGTCCACCCCAGCCTGCTGGGGTCCAGCTTTGCCAGTTGGCATGAATCCCCTGAGAGCTTCTACAGAAAAATTATAGTCCTCAGTCCAAAAGGGGTTCTGCACCCCTGACTGGAAAGCGAACACTGGATGTGACCTGGGCTGACTGAAGTGCCATTGGCCACAGTGCTCACCGGGGGAACCAAAGTTAGTTAGGGCCAAATCCCCTCCCAGGGACTTTGTGAGGACAATATGGGTGGGGAGTAAATATATTGTCCTAAATCCTTTGGAAGAACCCCCCTCCCGGATCTTTTCTTTCAAAGTAGGGCTTTATATGCACCTGTCTGCAAAATAATGCTCTCCCCCCCCCCCCCGACCTTTCTCTTTTATACATTGCAGGACATAAATGCCCAGTGGACCAGAGAGAGCAGTTGGAGGAGACCCTTCCTCTAGTTCTGGGCTTGATCTTAGGACTGGTTATCGTGATAACCCTTGGTGTTTACCACATCCACCTCAAAATGACTGCAAATCAAGTCCAAATTCCACGGGACAGATCTGAGTACAAGCATATGGGATAGCTCACCCAGCGATGGATCTGCTGAAGCAAAAGCATGTTCTTCCTGCAAGCCGGGGGCTTCCCCCTGATCAAACAACTGACTGTATAATGACCAAATGGAGAGGGCAGGGTGGGTGTGGGTGGGAAAGAGCCATTCTTCAAAACTCAGTGCTTGGAGCAGAGGAGATGCCTCTGTCCCCTTGGAGAACCATCAGCGTAAAAGCCATCTTTGCTTCTGTTTTGCAAACTCTCTTCCAAGCCATGCACTAAGGGGAGACCTTAGCATGAAGGCGTGTTCTTTGCTGTGAGCAGCGATCACAATGGAGATGACGATGCAGTATGGCAGGAACAGAGGAACCTGTGCCACTCCCCTCCTCGGATGTTAGCCTGCTACTCCACGCATTCCTATCTAGCAGCCATGCTGACTGGAACAGATGGAGTCCAGAAACAGCAGGAAGGCCCCAGGTTCCCAGTACCTGATTTACTGGGTTGGAGCCAGACATCCATGAGTAGAGGTCTGCTCCTGGAGCAATAGTCAATGTCACCTGATCATAGGTCATATTGTGCTAGTGTAAGCAACCTGTAGTTCAGTACCAAGAAGCATTTTAGCTGGCACAACAGGTTTTCTGGGGAATTTGTGCCTGCTAAGTGATTTGTGCCGAACCAGAAGACCTTTATGTTAGCACAACATAATTTATGCTACCCATTGAATGCTCCCTACTTATGGAAGTGTCTGTGGGGGGTGATTTGGCTGATTCTTTCCCCTTGCAATGCTTTGTATCCCCTGAAAATTGGGTCGGAATGAATGGGGAACCCTCTGGAGTTGTGTGGCCACACCAGGGGAGAAGGAATGAGCACAACCCAGCCGTACCTCTTCCATGAGCAGGAAGTGTTGACTGGATTGCAGGGTCAAGCAAGCTCAAGGGCTCCTTCCGTTCAGCAGGGCTGCTCTAACTCCAGGACATGCTCCTGAATTCCTAATGCTCCAAAAACATTCCTGCGGAAACAAAGGAATGGGAGGGGCAAGGAACTGAAGATAGCCCTCCCCAAACACACATTCCCAAAGGAATAATGCCACTTTGGAGGGGAAACAAAGAATACCCGCCAGCTCTTGCTTGCCTGATAGGAAGTCATTAGAGTTCCATTGCAACTTATCTCAACTTTAGGACTATTTTGATGAGATGAAAAAGCCTAAGATTCATGGTAGTAGCTTGAAGAAAATTTGCTTTCGTTTTGTTTGCTCATTGGGAATGTTTTAGCATCAGAAAAAATGTTATGGCTGCTGTGACTCAAATCATAAAGAGTGTCATGCTATTGTAATAAGCCAAGTGAGAAATGATTCTGGGCTGGATACCTTTGCATGTACTGTGATTGAAAAATGCCTACTGCTACATGATGACTTCATTAGACTGCAATGACAAAATGTTTGTCTTACTATGCAGATACCTTCAGGTCTTATAAATATATAGGTGTAAATATATATATGGAAAACCCCTATAATCCTAAATTATGTTGCTGAATGCAAACTATTTTTAAAAACTTATACAAATATCTATCATATTTTATTGGCATTCTTATTCATTTGGAAGAGACCTCTGCTTCTGTACAAACAATGAGATGCAAATAAAATGTTGGAGGATTGTATAAAAGTGTACATTGTATTAGTGATGTCTCTACTGGCTGGAAGAAGGGCAATTGTTGGGAGAAGCTGACCCAGGTCATCACACATCCATTGCATGTGGGGGTGGTGCCTAAGGTTGCAGTGCTGGATTGGTCACCTGGCAGTAAGCCCTGCTGAACGCTTTGAGACTTACTTCTGAGTAGATGTGCTTAGGAATGCATGTAAGAGGAGGTCCATTCTCATCTGTGTCAGTCACATCTATTGAGCTGAGTGGGTTCCAAATGAACATTGAATGCACATGAGTAGGAAAAGACACCAAACTTAAATGCTTACTGGAAACAGAGGTGAGACAAGGTGTAGATATAAGCTGACATTTGCAATAATAATATTTAATATTTATGCAGTGTTTGGAGGTGTCCAAAGTGCTTTGCATAGGTTGCCTTGTTCTTGCCTTCCAGCAACAACCGTGTAAGGTGTGTCGGCTTCGTTCCCACGCCACAACTGGGGTGCCACTGTGCATGTGCCTTGAGGGCAGAGGGGCAGACAGCAACAGCGTTGGGGGCTTGGCAGAGTTCCCTGCTGGGGTGTGCTCCTTGGCAGATGTCCAGTCATGCTGACCCATGAAATCAGCCTTGAGCAGGAGGTTAGGCTAACACAACAGAAGTAGAGGAAGGTGCAAATCTGAGAGGAAGTAATGATCAGGCTGTGGCACTGGAACTAAGCTGCTGGTTTATCTTTTCTCCGGAGCCTTTGCACAACACAGACAAATACAAGCCAAAGAAGTGTATTTTTGCACAAAACATGCAAACTAAAGTCATTCATCGCAGCAGTCATGTTTTTATTTGTACATGGGCTCTTCCTCACAGAGTTGTTTGGTGTGCACAAAGCTTTTCAAAGATGGCAATGATGTTGAGTGGACACCATGGACCCTGCTAAAACCATGGATCAGAAAATAGTAGATGTCTGCACACTTTAAATTTTAATATCTGTTAACCATTACTTTATCCAATGATCACAGGTTTTATTTTGAGCTTCATGGTCATACTTTTTAACATGACCATCTTTATTTTCTAAAAGGCTTCTTGGCAGAAACAAACATGAAGTACAATCTCGTTTAGAAATAAATCCACCTTGTAAAGGATACTAAGGTGGGGTGGAATTCTGGGTTAACTTTACCTGGTGGGAGAGGCTGTAGCTCAGTGGTAGATTACTTTTGCTTTGCAAAAAGCAGAAAAGTTCTTGTTGAAGAGCCATGACAAATCAGAGTGGTAGACCTGAGGTGCATTCCTCTTTTGGCCCCGAGGACTGCATCGCTCAGTGCCTGGAAGACCACATGCATACATTTGCGTGTGTGTGTGTGCACACACAGCAGGTCTTCATCAGTGGCTCTTTGGTGAGAGATTGCAGATAAAAAAGAAGGGGTTCCCTTGCAAACACTAGCATGGGAAATGCCAGGTATTGCTGCCGCCGCCACCACAGATGTGGAAGGGGGACTGGCGGCTGCTAGAAATGGCTTGGTGAGCCAGTTTTTACACCCTTGGTGTAGATGACACTGAGTGAGGCAGACTGGTGGACTGACTTTGGCCAAGGCCGCTTCCTTGCTAGTCTAATGGTAAAAGATTTCTGTTTGGGTATTATAAATTGTAGGGGACGGGAGTATCCTTTGATGGCATGTGCAGCAAGAGTGATTTGGTGCTGAAACTAAGACTGGAAGGAGCCGTGAGCTGACTTGTTTGCTTCCAGAAATGCTATGGCACTGGGGCTTCCCCTGGAAATTGGATGAGTAGCAGGAATCTGTTCAAGTGCTCTCACTCTAAACTGCCATCTGATGCGTAGCCTCTACATAAAGGTATCTTCTAGAGCAGAAACATCATTTCTGCTTCCAGAGGCCTCTTTCTAGGAAAACCAAATTGGGATAAAATGCTTGCCTGCCTGGAGTCCTCAGTACTTGGGAAACTGAGGTGCAGAAATTGTAATTGTGATCAACTCAACCCAGATTGAGGCTGGATATGAGGAAAAGCTTCCTCACTGTCAGAGCAATACAGCACTGGAACCAGTTGCCCAGAAAGGCCATGGGCTTTCCCACATTAGAGATAATAATAATAAAAAAGGAAAGCCATCTGAGTGGAATGGTGTAAACTGATGTCCTGCAAGAGCAGGGACTTGGACCCGGTGGCCTTATTGGCCCCTTCCCACTTGCTATTCCGTGATTATTTGGAGGAAGGTGAGTGACTCTAGTATCAGCAGGCTGGTAATCCCGCTCTAGGCAGGCCGGTTTGGGAGCTGTCCGTGGTCCTGAAAACCAACCACTAAATGCATTTCAGCACGATGGATAACTCCTTGACCGGTCTGACTACTGTGCATCCAAAAATGAAAATACAGCCCCACTGCCATTGGAGCCATCAGCCTTCCCTGACAGTCTGAACAGTGGCTTGTTTCCTGATAAAAACCAGAAATGGCAAACACAAAAGATATTCTGGTTTTGATTCATTTTTCTTGCACCTTAGTTGCAATCTGAGGAAGCCCATCACACGCCAAGCAACATGGCTTCAGTTGGGATGCAAGCAAGTAGAAATGTAGGCCATCTATATTTATCGTATTTGGGGAACAGGGCCCCTGATTAGTCTTGAATCCAGATACACTCATTCCTAAAGTTGGTCGTGATTATCTCAGTTCTCATTGATTTCAGCATGACTAAAGCTGGACCCAAGGGCAAATAAATGGATAAAATACTGACTCTCCAAGTGCTAGAAATAATATCGGTGCTTACTTTTACATGTGAATGACTTGATGCATCTGTCTAACTACGCTTCACCATTTATCTACACCATTTGTTGCATGCTCTTGATTTACGGGAGAAGACTATGCTGACTTTGATTCCTTGCAAACAGAAAATTGGTGGAGCATAAATGCAGCAAAGGATAAAATGCAAGGGATCTATTTCTGTGTGAATTCTGGTATTCAACCGAAATTCACACTCTCAGATTTTGTGACTTCTAATTTATATTTTATCTTCCAGGCTCTGGTGGAGGATCTTGGGTTCTTGCAAAAACCAGGACAAAACAAACAAAGCAAAAAACACAAGCAAGACAAAGTAGATTGCACAAGCCTGCCTTCCTTGGCAGAGCATACTTAACGGGTGCTGCTCTGTTGGTGTTCAGTCTGAAACTTGGTCATGAAGTTCAAGGTCTGTTTCAGTGGCTCATAAAATCAAGAACTTTATTCTCAATGAAAAGCATTTGTAGGTGAGGTGTAAGACTGAAAATCAAAATGAGACTCCATGGGAAAATTATTGTGTAACCTCAATAGCCAATGGATATACGTACTTCTCTGCAGCCTTACAATAATTTAAGACAGCCTCCCCTGACCAGGTGTCTTCCAGATAATTTATACTTCAACTCCCATCATCCTCAGGCAGCATGATCAATGATCAAGAATGCTGGGAGTTATAGTGCCAACTTAGGGGAAGTCTGATCTAAAGCACCAACAGCACAATCCTACACATGTCTACTCAGTAGTAAAGCCACTGAACACTGTAGGACTTACTTCTGAGCAAGTAAGTATGCATACAATTGTTCTGCTCAGTGCATGATATGCAGATTGAAACAGTCTTATCTGGTGGACACATGCCCTTTTGGGCTGGATTATCGTCAATTTTAAAACACGCTATATTTGTAATGAAATCAAAGGATGAGCAAATCTGTCCAAAATCAGTAGCCTTCTAATGTTTTGCCTCTCTTTTATTACAATAAGTAATGGCCAACTGATTGGTAAAAAGGAAACCCCTTCACAATTCAAAATGATTAGATAGTGATTAGATAAATGATTAGATAATGATTAGATTAGATAGACCAGATAGTTCATTTTAGTGTCGGATTTTTTTCCAGTGAAGTCAGTAAAAGCAAGAACAAAAAACTTGGCAAATACATGGCTTTCATATTAAGCTTAATTAAAAATAAATAAATAAATTCTCCATCGTTGAAATAATCATGAAGCACTTATAAAGGCAAATCTCTATAGGCCTATGGTAAACATGCAAATTTATCCAACAAGCAACACAAAACTGGTTGAAGTAGTTACTGCTGAATTAACATTCCAAAAGAGTTTAGACAGCATTTCTCCCTGTATAGCAAACAGTTCAACATAATCTTACAATGCCTCAATTCAGATTTTAAAAAATGCCCACTCACTGTCTGGACTTTCTTGGACTTGCTGATTCAGTCTTTGCTTTCTCAAGCATGGATATGAATAATGAGGACTAATGTTCTGGCACGGGAGTTAGCTCAGACAAAAATGAACACATGTCCATATTGCTAGCTGAGAACAATAATTAACCCTTCTCCTGGAGTTGAACTTGGCATGTATCCATCAGTGATGTGAAAATGGAATCTGTGAAGTGTGTTCCAGGTTGCTCTGCATGCGACTGGCAGGTTTTGCATTCAAACAGAACTGCTCCTAAAGAGCAATCCACACACAGTTTGGAACTACACGACTTGGGCTGGAGTTGAGATCTGCTGTCCACAGGATGAAGGGAAGGCCTCCACTGGCAGAAGGTCTCCTCCATCTAATCCTTGAGATTCTCCCTTCACACAGGTCACCCATTCAGCAGAATCTCTTGCCTATGCAGCATCTTCTGAAGGCTAAGGGAAGGAGGAGCCCTCTTCCAGCAGCGCAGTTAATTAAGTGCTCATCAGTTCCAACCCCTGAAGTGTGTCACTCATCAAACAGAAGACGATCCATTGACTGTGTTGGATCCTGACTTAGTCATAACTAGAGCAGACCCATTACAATCAAGGTTAGTCGTGGCTATTTTACCTCCCATTGGTTCCAGAGGGCCTAAGAATGAATAAGGGCTCAACCCTAAGTATAGTTAGGCCAGAAGAGAAGTTCCAGAGGCCTCAGCATTCCCAGCCAGCCCTCTGTATATTGTGGCTTGCAATGTGATTCATTATCTCGTTTCTACTGATTGCCCATTTTGGCACCACCCTGTGAGGCTCTTGCCGTGTCCCCTATTGCCATGCAGAGCCCTGACTGGGTCCAAATGAGGGAACTTGGCAGGGAAAGGTGTCGCTCAGCTGCAGTGACTGTTGACAATATTCAGGACTGATGCAGCACAGTCCGGGCGCAACCTGATGCATGCTGAGAAAGGAAAAAAGACCTACAACTCCCAGCATGCACCCGCCAGTGACGCCTAGCTGTTGTCCGAGGGGAATGCTGGGAGATCTCTGACTTTGTTCTGTCTAAAAGTGCACAGGATTGTGTTCTTTTAGGTGGATGTAGCTCTTAAATATCACATTTACCCTGACCAGCAAGTCTCCACAGTGTTCTTTTTGTGGCGGCTGATCGTTTGCCACCACTGCCCATGAGTTGCCCTCTCCATCTGATAAAATCAAGATATGTGAGGCTGCCTTTGACAGCAGCACCGGCATATACTGGTACTTACCGCTTCAGAACAAGCATTGCTCCTGCATTATCTCAAGGGGAAAAGGGATCCAGCATTGCCAGCAAATAGAACATTTGCAAAATGAAGATGTACATTAGACTGGCACAGCTGAGAAGTTTTTGCCAACATTCTGAACTGCTAGGATATGTATGAGTGTTCCTTTCTCTTCAAAAGGGATAAAAAAGTAGGAAAGATCTTGCTCAAATGCTTGCTAAGTTACACCTATCACTTCTATTAACACCATCACTATGACATCAAAGTACTGTAAATTATCAAAAGCGATGTACAGAAAATTACAAATTCATTTCAAAATACATCATGCTGCTACCACTGAGATAAAAAGTGCTGCTTCTTCTTTTACTTTTTTGTCCTTCTGAAGTAGAAGTGCTGTTTTACTCTGATTTTGAATATGATCCTGGTGTTCCATCCGGGTTGTGCTGTGAGGTTCCCTGCCCAAACCTCTGCAAGTGGGTCTTGGAAGAACACCCTTCTGCCTTGGACATCACTAGGTTGAAAGCAGTAACTGACCAAGGGAGGAGCATCTCATGAGCATCTCGTATGAGCCATCAACACGTCCCATTTTCAAAGCAAGAAACAGCTTCACAAACCTGGAGAAGTTTCCTGCATTGTGTACAGAATCATTTCAGCAGCAGCAGTTGATTTTTCAGCTCACTGGGGCTTTCTGCTTAGTCAGCAGCTTCTATCCAGCCTCTGCGCAGACCTCTCCCCAAAATAATCAAAGCTGCTGGATTCAGTGCTGCCGGTACTGCCTCATGAGAGGCACAATGCAAGAAGGAGGCCCAGCCAGTTTCAGAAAAGGGTGTCTTAAGAGTTCTTGAGCTGTTCCTCTTTGCGAAGGTTCCCTCACCAGCATCAAGTCTAAAAAGCCGCGCAGTACCGATGAGACCTGAAAAAGCCAACATGATCATTCATTCATTCAAAACTTTTCTAGACCACTCCTTATCATCATCTCGGGGTGGTTTAACAATAAGACAATATAAAATAAAATAAAACAAAACACAGTGTCCTAATATAATGCCCAATCAACAATAAAGCTCCAATTAAAACAATCAAATCTTAAAACATTGGGAGAATAAAAAGGTTTTAGCTTGGCACCAAAAAGAATAAAGTGACGGCACCAGGTGAACCCCTCTGGGGAGCAAATTCCACAAATGGGGTGCCACCACAGAGAAGGCCCTTCTTCGAGTAGTCACCCTCCTAATCTCCTTCAGGGAGGGCTCCCAGAGAAGGGCCTCTGCCCCAGATCTTAAGGGGTGGGCAGGCACATATGGAAGGAGACACTTTTGAAGAATGTAGCAAATAAATGATCAGCTGAAGATGAATCTAGCTGCAGCTGTGTAGCTGAGATGAACTTTAGTTGAGGGGTGTTACAGTTTACATAGCTGGCCATTTGGCTACTAGCACTCGCTTGATAAAAGTTATAAATTGGGCCTTCCCAGCCTTGTGCATTCAGCCTGTTCTGGACCGTAGTTCCCAGCACTCCTCACCATGGACTGTGCTGGCTGAGGCTAATATACGCTGTAGCCTAGGACATCTGGAGGGTACAAGGTTGGGATAACTGCACAGATAAGTATGAACATGATTGCATCACTCAGAGAGAGGCACTGATGAGGATGCTTTTCTGTGAGTAAAAGGGCAGCCCCTTCCCTGTTTGGCACTGGGTAAACATGACTCAGAAAGAAAACCAGTGCAAAGCGCTTCCACTTCCACTTCCACCAGTGTGTGGCTGCCGAGGCAGAATCGAACAGGGTGCTTGCACCCCCACCAAGTCCTTTCTTCAAGTGGGATCTGCCACCTGTGTATGAGATTTACTGCTTCCTGGGAGAAGCCCTGACATGAGAGCTCTGTTAACCTTCCTCCTTGCAGGAATAAACAGTTCCACTCACATAGTGCTGCTCTGGAAGTGCTAAACTGCCATTGTGCAAACAGTGGGGGATGCTTGGTGGGGCAGAAGAGAACTGGCGGGGGCATATCTGGAGATCTCTTTGCCCAAGCAAGGACTGGAGGAGAAAGGCATCTATCAATGTGTACAAGAGTCCATGAAAAATCTCACCTTGTGCAGATCCTTTACTCTTGGTGGTAAATTGTCTCGGATTCTGCGCATTGCCTGGAGAGGGGGCTCGTTGAAATACGGAGGCTCTCCGTCGATCATTTCTATTACCATGATGCCGAGGGACCAGATGTCCACCTGCAAAAGAAATGCACCTGTTACAACAGGAAGGAGAAGGCAGCCAGCATTCCACAGATGCTTAATCTTCACAGGGACGTGTTCCTCTAAAGGTTTTAACAGAAAGAGCCGTGGTTGGCTTGCTGGATTGGGATCTTCCTGAGGAACCGATGGCAAGGGTGAGAGGCATTTGGCCATGATGATGCTGTTGTTATGACCCCTCAAGTCATCGCTGACTTATGGCAACCCTGCCCTTGAATGCCCTCCAAAACATCCTTGGCTGCCCTGCTCAGCTCTTGTGAACTCAAGGCGGTGGCTTGCTTTCTGGAATCAGTCCATCTCGTAGTTGGTCTTCCTTTCCTTCAACTGCCTTAAACTGTCCTGAGCGTTATTGCCTCTTCCAGTGAGTGTGGCCTTTTCCAGTTACGATGATAGTTCATCTCAAATCCAGACTGTGCCTTTTTTCCACAGCCAGCACTAGCTATCCCATTGAAAATATACTTTCATCAGCGTTCCTGCACGGAATTGCACTAGGTAGTATGGTATGGTGGATAGTATGCTGGGCTGGGGACCTGAGAGGTCTGGCTTCCAGTCCTATCTCAGCCGTGAGGCTCACTGTGTGATTTGAGAAAATCACTCAGTTTCAGCCTAACCTACCTCACAGCGTTGTTTTTATGAGGATATGATGGAGCAGAGCAGAACTAGGTAAGTTGCCTTGGGTTTCCCACAGGAGGAAAAAAGGTGGGATGGAAATGCAATGCGATGATGATGATGATGATGATGTACCATTGCCCATGCTTGAACTATAAGCACCTTGACCCAAGAAATCCTCACAGAAATCCTGCTAAGCCAGTGGTTGAATTTACTTATGGAATTAGTACAGTTCTTTTACTGACTGCCCCTAAATTGCAAGTGAGTTAGATCCAGATGTGGTCCTACTAGGATGAGAGCTGCTGAATGACTAAGTCATGACTAAATGAAGCCCCATCAGTTTCACTGGGCCTGCTTCAATGTGGATCCAGCCACAGTCATTTCCTTTACAAACACCTGCTTATCTTCATTCCAGCAGCAACTTCACTGGAAATCTTACTCATGCTTTGCATCCCCAGGATTGCCTGGGCAGAGTGTGGCAGGCCCCATTTGCTGAGCAGGTGAGTCACTGTGGTTGATTCATAAGGCGTGTTTCAAGCACAGCCAATTGGCTGATACCTGATTCCCACACCTAACAACCACCGGGGCCCCATCCTTCAGCTTGTCCCCTTTGGAAAGGCTTTTGGCTGAAACTGCCTGGGAAATTCTCTCCCCTTTGGATAGAATGGTACTTGCAGGTGGTCAGTTGATAACTATGGCAAGCATGAACAATATTTTATTGCCCTCTGGTAGTTGTTTCACTGATAACCTGCTGTGCTATCAATACAACAAACATGCATTTTTAAAGCAAGAATAATCTGACCATAAAAAAGCCCAAATGTAGCTGAATCGTGACTCTGAATGATGAATCACCAGATTGTGATTTATTCTGCAACTCAGAAATGGTAGGCCCAGCAGAGAGAGGGCCTTGTTACCCTGCATGCAGCTGTACTGTGTGATGCATATTTCACTTGCATGCAGTTATCCATTTGGTTTCCAGTGCAAAATACAGACATAAAAATACATCCAAATGGCATATGATGGCAAAATGGTGACAGCCGAGAGCGTGTAAGTTAATCACACTGCTATGAGTAAAGATTGCTATTTTGATGCCTTTACAGTCATCCTGATTTCATGCTCAGAGTTTGCCTATTTTCACCATCAGTTCCTCCCTCTTCCATGTATATCTCAGTTGCCTTCTTTCCCTGATCAAATGAAACTGAAATGCATTGCAGGTTCCTGATGTCATACATGGACAATCAAGTCCAGAGACTGGATAGCCAGCATACATGCAGTTCAGGGCTTAGGTGACTCGGTGGGTTGGATCTAGGTTTGTGCTGGATAAACTGTGCTGATGGTAATGGACTGCCCTGCCCTCCTTGCCCCAGCAGCCCTACCAGGCAGCAAAGAGAGCAGGGAGCCCTGCTGCTCTGTGATGGGGGGGGGGGGGGGGGGAGACAATTTGAGCCTTGAAATGGACTTAAGAGAATCTCAGCAAGCTCCAGCACCCTTACCTCTCCCATCCCTCCCCGCTGCCAGTCTTAGCACTAGCAGTGTTTGCAGGCAAGAAGCAGACACCAGTAACTTTTGCAGCAGGAAGGCTGTTGGTGGGGTTCATCGCCCGTTGTCGCTTTTACTCTGAGCTTTACAGGTGCTATCCATGGTGCTTAACGCTGGCCAACTGCAATGAATGAGGATTCCCCCTAGCACAGCAGTCTCTAGCCTGCCGTGCCTCCCAGGAGGACCCCCTAGAAGATCCCCTGACTGAGAAGGATGCAGTCTTGGAGGAACCAATATGCTCAGCCAGCTTTCACGCCCACCCACACATAGAGCTCCATTCCTGCCAAGATCTCCATCAGGATCCCTGGACAGAGAAAGCCTTGTGTCCCAGTGGAAGCCCAGTTTTGAGCTGTGGTGCTTATTACTGCGGTGCCAAATTGCTCAGCCAGAAGTCCATCATGGGAGAAAGAAGGCAGCCTCCTTGCAAGTGTTGGATCAGGGCCCTGATGTCAGGCCAGGAAGGGATAGGGCAACAACACAAGGCACAGGTGGGCTTTGCTGGGGGTGAAGCTGGCCTCTCTTGAGCCTCTGAATCTCTGGCACACGACATGGCTAGCGGTGAAGCAAGGTTTCCAGCCATGTGGAAAGATGGGAGGCATGAGGCTCGACTCTGGGGCGGTCCTTATGGGGTTCGCTATTGGTGGTGATGCCACTGCGTAGGGTGAAGTAACATGTAGGCTAGTCGTTCATTGTTATTCCTGGGGAAGCCAGTTTTGCAGGGAAGTAGCAGCCACACCTTCTGCAAAAGACCACTGACTCACACAACACTTTCTTCCAATGAAGGATTAAATGTGCCACGACATTTTGAAGCCATGCTAGTATTTCAAGGGGCTGATGATCGTCGCTACTGGAGAGGCCATGATGGGACCAAAAGTACCGCCAGTGGAGACTGATGGTCCGAGGTGAACGGGGCACATACCCGCACCAGCTCACGTGTGAAGTCCCCTTGTGCTGGATCCCAACCGCAAAACAGCATCGGAACCATGGCTAGCTCCTTTAGAGTGTGGATAATTTGCTTCATTCACACGGGAGCCACCAGAGAGAGGGGGGAATGCAGAGCCAATCCACCTGTCCTCCTGAAGGATCAGCTCCATCAGGCTGTGCCCTCCTTCAGCTGTTCCCTGGCTGCAGCGGTTCCAGCAGGCTACGCAAAGGCAGAGGCAGGCCTCAGGAGCACTGCACCCGCAGCTCTGCGGGAGGATCACCTGGCTCCTCCCCTCTCTGAACTACGTCCATCCCACCTGCTCAGTGGAAGACCTGCTACGTAACTGTTACAAATCACGGCTCACATTTGTTTTCTTCTACCCACTTTATCCCTTTTTCCTTTTGCATCCTGTCTTTTAGGTTGAAGTCTGTGGGCAGGAAGTATACTGAATATTGGCCTTATTTCCATTGCCTTTTGAGCTAAAGAGTGGGATTAAAGTGCTATAAACAAACAAACAAACAAACAAACAAGAAGTACGGGCCATGACTCCACTCTCACAATCCAAATAAATCTTGCTGAATGGTGTAAGGCACAGGTTTTACTTACCTCCGTTCCATAAGGCAATCTAGAAATCACTTCAGGTGCCATCCAGTATGGGGTTCCAACCAGTGATTTCCGTTTTGGAACATCCTTTGAAACTTGAGCACAGAACCCAAAATCTGACAATTTTATCTGAAAAATAAAGAACACATTGGGAAAAAAAAAATCAAATGGGAAGTGAATGTTGTTCATACATCTTAACTGTAGAGTGTAGAACAGAGGTGGGAAACCATTTTCCTGTGAAGTGAAATTTTCTAGTGGTAGCAGGTCCAGTGCTGGATGGCACACAAATATGAACTGGGAAGAGTTTGCAGCCTTCAGGATTTCCTGGGTCTTTCTCTTTGTTTACCAGCTCATCCCTTGCCAGTACATTCCCTGCACACAGACTGGAGGAGGGCGCAACTGCCAAGGGGGTGGTCCGCAGAGCAAGGGAAGGCTTGGAACATCCAGACAGTTGGATCACACCAAGGAGCACAAGGGATGAGGCTGCACTTTTTCCTTGGACTTCAAGATTCCACAGCAGGTATAGACACTGCGCCAGTTTAGCAGCTTCCAGAGGGGTCTGACAATTCGTCATGTATCTGACAAAGTGCATAGTGTCCACACAATTTTGGAATAAACGTGTTGGTTTTTAAGGTGCCACAAGTCTCCTCGCTTTAAGTGATGCTCTAAGCTTTCTGAATAGTAGTAAGTATGGAAATTACACAGTCCCAAAAGAAGGAAAATTGTTTAAGGTTCATCCTGCTGAGGGAAAGGCCATCAGCTCCATTTTTATACAGTCTCGGGGTAGCAATGTAGTAATTGGGAAAAGAAGATTAAATGTATTGCTTCCCCCCTCAAAAAATAGCATATGCTAACTTATATGTAATTTAGAAATTATCATTTGCATTTAAATAGGTATATAGTGCATCTCATCTTTAGGACGAAGATTGTGGCCAGATGACCCATGTACATAACAGGTCACTGTCTAAATGCTAACTGTAGATTAGCAACAGTTCTGATGCTTTATTTGTTTAGTTAATTTACATATATATCACTTGATTTCATCAACTCTCTAAATGGCTGGCAGAAGAGATACATAAAATGCAATATAAAAGCTGATATAAACACACTATCAAATAATACATTTGTTAAAAGATTACAGGAACTGAGCAGTGCAATTGCAAGTCAGGGAAAGTCTGAGTAAACAGGTCTGTCTTCAAGAGGCATATAAAGTCGACCTGAGCTTCCAATTCTCAGATCACATGTAGGGGAACTTTCTATGGGGGGGAGTGTCACTGCTGAGAACCCCACTTACATGTTAGTATTTGACAACTTGCAGTTGGTTGGGGAATGACTGACAAGGCCTCTATGGAAGATCTCAAGGAACAATTTGGTCTCAAGGATTGATAGGAGAAGATGGATTGCTAGGTATTCTGGTCCTGAGTTGTTTAGCATTTGGGCTATCTTTAAATTTGAATGGGACAGGACAGCCCTTCAAACAAAAGGCACCTTGAAATAGAGGACAGTCCAGTGAAAAAGAGGACCCACAGCCACCTCACAGGAGTCCACAATTAATTTTGCATGCCTTCTTTCATCTTTCAGTGATGGATGATGCTATAGATTGGGACCCACTGAAGTCCTGTTGAAACTGCTGTACCAAAGTTTACCTCTGCCCTTGTTTGATGGGGCTGAATCATTTTTCATCATCACTGGAACCTTTCTGTCCCCACTGCCCACTTTACGGTGATAGAACACATGTCTGGAAATAGCACCACTAGATTGGATTAAGTCAGATTTGGTATTAATATTTCAGTTTTAACTTCATTGTTGGGGTCTGGGAACACACAATTTGAATTTTAACAAGTATCTTTTGTTAGCAGGTGTGGGCGGGGAGGGAGAGTTGGCATCATCATCATCCAGGGGCACCCGTTCATTCATTTATACATGGCTGGAGGGGGTCCATGCAGGGAAAGCCCTTGCTCTCTGTGGAAGAGACGAGTGGAACAAAGGAATGACCACAGGGGTGGGGGAGCAGTGGGGCAGGATGCTTTGCTTCGCACTGGGGGGGGGGGGGGACTCAGGTAAGGCTGGGTTCTGGCAGGCCTGCTGTGTCCATGAGCCGTGCTGAGTTGACCGGGCAGCAGTGCTTGAAACGGCAGTGCATGACCGAGGGTGGCTGTCTGCACTGCACAGCGCACCATGCAGTGATGCTGCAGCAGGGGCACTGTGACAGCTATGACAGCAATGGCCAGCTGTCCAGCGGTGCCTGAGGGAGGGGGGCGGAGGGGAGTGCTGGGGCCCCAGCACTTGCCCAAGGATTGGACATTGGCACCCCGGAGCTCACCTGGGGAAACCACGAAGTGGAGCATGTAGGGAGAGCAGATGCTGAAGGTTAGGACAGACAGGTACAGCAATGGCAGTGACCAAGAAGAGAGCCTGAGGACACAGCTAATGGACCCAAGATGTTTGGAAGTGCAAGGAAAGGAGGAGCCAGGGCAGAATCTGAGAAGGGGATCAAGAACTGGTAAGTGCTTAAGGGTGCTTGAAAAAATAGTGGAAACAAGGAGATTAAAGATGACAATGATGTGCAGAATAGAAGCATTTGGGAAGTGATAAAGGAACTGGCAGTGTCTTTGAATTTACCTCAGTAAGAACTGATTTGTTTTAGAAATTGGGAAGATTAGGGGAGTTAGTAATGATGGAGGGATGAAGAAGAAAGAAGAGAATGTAATACAAGAGAAAAATTCACACTGACTTTTATTAGCCTTCTTAAAGAAAACCTGCAAAATCTTCAGCAAAGAGATCTTTGCCTAAGAAAAAAAGAAAACAAGCAAGCTGAAGGCCCACAGAAAAGGGGACAGTAACCACATTTTAATGAGCATCCCCAAGTGGGCATAATGGGGGAGAACAGTAGATGTTAAATTAGAAAGTGAGAACTGTGGTCCCCACATGTGTATCACTATTTTGAATCTATACAGATACTAGTCCAAACTGTTGGAGGGAGAGAATCACCCCATAAGATTCTACAAGATACGGTGCGAATATGATGAACTATTTGGTCCATGGTCTTTTGTGGAAAAGAATGTGGAAAAATACTGAATGCAAGGCGCCGTTTGGATCCTTGGTTAGCTTTGTTAGCTATATTCCAAATCAAGGTCAAAATTCTACTGCGAAAAGCAGTGCTTGAATTCTTACTGGTTGCTGTGCATCAAAGCAGTGTAAAAAATTGAAAGACTCATTTACACTTGACAATAGGTATGTGGTACACTATGATATGACACCCTATTTTCAGAGAAGCTCACTAATCGGCTCAAAGTGACCAGAACACAGCAAGGAACAAATGAGTATGGGATGACTTGGTGTTACTTTATAAACTTTATAAATGACAAAGAGCATTAAAAAGAGTCACAAACTAACTGTGCTACATCAGAGAGATATACTTTTGGTAACAGTTCAGACTTCTTTGTATACTCAAGTCTCAGCAATCAATTGACTAACAAATCCTCAGTGATTCCTGGTCCAATTTATATTACTTTTGTTTACTGTTTTATTAAATTGCGTATCAAATCAATTAAACTATCTTTAAAAACAAGAAAAAAGGTGTTCCGTAAGTGGCCTAAGGATTGCAGAGACCATCAAATCTTTGAATCCATTCTTACAGAACAGTCAGTTCTTCAAGAACACCCCAGGGCTAAAGTCAATGCTGGATCTCCCCTTCCCCAGCTGTAGACAAAGCTACAATTTAGGAAGGGGTAGAAATCTGAATGAGCATTTCTGCCCCCACTCCCGGTCAGCGTGGAAAGCACCGGGATGCCTCTTTTTCCAGTCACTGTTGCAACCTTGGGTGAAGATGAGGCAGCTGGAAAGCAAGCACCCTGGGGGGTGGGAAGGGGGGAGACCACAGCGATGCTTGATCCGCAAGTGATCTCTGGCCACTGCCCTTCTCCAGACCTGCCTCTGTCATTCTTCCTGCCTTTTTCGGCAGGCCAATGGATTTCTGAAGCACTTCATCCTCCATGCCGGACGCCCACAGGATTCCTCTGCCAGAAGGAACAAGCGCATACGAATGCACGAGGCAACTTTCCGCTCTTGGCTGTAAGCTGCTTGGATCATAAGGGAGCAGTGCAGTGATGATATGCTCAGAGCAAAATAAAGGGGGATTCTCTGTCAACTTGCAGCAATGGCCATTTTGCAGAATGCCATTGTCCCTCCAGGTAACACCCCTTGTAGCATCCTGAGCGGAATAATCAAGGGACGCTGACAGAGCGCCGAGTCCTGAATTTCCACATCTGAAATGCAGCTGATCACCAGCACATTTGTCATGTCAAGCTGCACTTGGGAATTGAGAACAGGAAGCCGGCAGAAGAGTGAATAAGGAAGCTTTGTGCCTTGTTGTCTTGTGGAGATGAGCGCCGCATTATTGGCAAGGCCAGCCTTCCTTTGGCATCGGCGCAGACATTACTTTTAATCAAAGCTTTCTCGCCCCTTTCTCTTGCTCCACAACTCAGCACCAGGGGTGGGATGGAGAATGGAAATAATTGTTTCTATTTATAAAACAAAGCTCAAGCATGGCAAACACTTCTGTTTGTACCATGAATAATAGACAGAAGAAGCCATGCTTTTTTGGGTGCCAGATCCATTTCCCTTTATGGTGGCATGAAAAAAGCATTTGCATCTCTAGGGCTCCTCTAAGTATATAGAAGCGGCTTCTTAAAATAAAAATGAGAAAAGAAGAGGAAAAAAATAAGATGATGGAACCTCCAGTGACAAAACATGCATTGGAGATAATAAGCGGAGGAATAACGAGGAACTGTACGCCTATCTGCAAAGCAGAGAGCAGAGTGCTTTTAGCAGGGCTGCTATCAAAAAAGAATGTCCCCCCCCCCCATGGAAATAGTGGTGGGAATAGTATGCTTTGCCCACTCCTTTATTAATGTAGATCTCTCACCAGCACCAGACACAATGGAGAAACTCTGCCAATGGTAAAGCGTGCCCTTAGTGCATGCGAAACATGCAGCTGATCAAGACTTCAGTAGGTGGATGAAATTCCACTGAAACTGATGGGATTTGGGCAAGCAGCACTGAATGTAACAGAACTGCAGCCCCAGCCTAGCAGGAGAACGATACGATAAAGCATGACTTGGGGTTGATCCCCATGTCAGTAGAGGAGACCCCCACTGAAGTTCATGGGACTTACATTAGCCACAACTAACTTGCCCTGTTCACTTCAGTGGGCTGGCTTGAAGTAAGACTAGCACGGCGACCAGTGGCACCCCTGCAGCAGGCTCAGCCAAATGCTAAGCAGGTGGCCAGCCTGATCAGACATGCAGCTTGAGCTGGTTCCTGGCCTCCCATGGACTTTCGACCATCGCAAAATGAAGGTGGACTTGAACAATCTAAGTCAAAGCCGCTATCAGACAAGCATGGCAGATACTGCTGCGGATCCATTTGTGCAGCCATTTCCCTCACCCACACACATATCCCACAGACAAGCTGAAATGCCAACAAGTTGTGTTGCTGTGGCAGGTGCAGAAGCCAATGGCATGAGTGGAGGGCCAGAATTAGCCAACTGAATCTGAATATTATGGGCATTTATTGTGCACTCAACATTCCCAATAGTTATGGGCTCTTTAGACAATGCCATGACCCTCCAGTATTGCTTCTGCTTGTGTATATGTTTTAGAGCAGAGAAAATGCAGTGTTATATCTGAAAGTGAAAGAAAATATTGTTTCCACTTGTGAGTATGTGCTTCTTAGATTTATATCCCACTTTTTCTAACTAACTCAAAGCAGCTTACACCATTCGCTTCCTCTTGCTCTCACGCTTATCCCCACAACAATCCACAGATCACTGCTTGTCAAGAAATCTTTATAATGAGTATTGTACTTCCTGATAATACCAGTCCCTGCAGTTCCTCTGCACCACAGAAAGACACATAGGGTTCTGTGTACAATGGTAGAAGGGTGGAGGAAGGAAGACCCCCCCCCCCAAAAATCCCAAATCCTTCTGCCATTGATTGCCTTTAGTTTGCATGTTAGTTCTAACACTTCACTTCCTGAACTGCTTTGCTGCATTTTCCGATTTTCAGTCTCACTCTGCTTCTGTGCTGCTTAATATTTTAGCTCTGTGCTTTCAATGGCTTGTTTGCAAAGCCCACAGAAGGGAAGGGCATTTACCCCATTTTTTTACCCCAAATCTTTTTGCTTCTGTGCTTTAATGAACAGAGGATGCACATTCCTTTGGCCACTGTCCGGAGATGCAAGAGCCTTTGCTGATCCAGGAACACATTCTGGTACTTCCAGCTCAGCTTTGCTGTTTCATCCAAGCCACAAATCAATTACTAAGAAGAGCAAATTTAGTGCTGAGTGAACAATGGCAGTATACAGAGCTTTCTGTTCCATTATAGATGTTTTGTATTGGCCTTCCCCAACATGGGACTCTCCTGATGGGTTGGACTTCAACTCCCATTGTCCCCAGCCAGAATGGCCCATGGCTTCCCCAACTGGTGTCCACCAGATGTGTCAGACTATGGGGGTGGGCGGGATAGAGGAGTGCCAGGCTAGAGGAGATTCGCACACCTTCCTTGAAACCCTTGAGTGTAGAACTTCTGCTATTTGAGGGTGAGGGGGAATTAACAGAATAGAATAAACAACACATTGCTTTTCTCTATGGCAATAGGAAGGGGTAAAGCGGCACTCCAGTAAGGAAGGACACAGTAGCCAAGACAGGGCTGGGATCCAAAGCACTGCAGGTGAGGTTCTGCTTCTGCTTCTGCAGGAAGGCCTTTTCACGCTCCCCCGCTGGCGGCAGCTCCCCTGCCAACACGAATGCAGAAGCCCCTGAGGGGTGAAGCAAGAGTGGGCAACTCTGGGGGCACCAGAGGCCATGTTTAGCCCCACGGAGCACGCCCACGGCTGCACCGCACTGCTGTGCCCTGCCAAATGTGGGCAGCAGCTGTGGCAAACCCTTCCATTGTTTGCCACCAAATCCTGGCAGCAAACCATGATGGAGACCTAATTTAACTTTAAACCAAGGCTTTAAAGTGAAGCGGGACCTTTCTAGGCCACTGGGACAGTTTGCTGCCAAAATTTGTTAGCAAATATGGTTTGTTTGCTACTGGTGGCAGCAGTGAATACAGAAGATGTGGTGGCAGGAGGGACACGCTTCCAGCTGGGAGGCTGCACAAACCTCACCCCTGATGTAAAGAAATCTCTCCTGCTCTCTAGATTCACAAAATCTGCTTCTACACGGGCACATGCCGATTCTGGTCCGTGTTCCAAGGAGGCATAACCCCCCTTCATGAGCACCATCTGAAATCCATGCCAGAGGTAAGGCCAAACACTTACTCTCCCATCACTTGTGAGAAGTATGGAATCACTCTTGATGTCCCGGTGGATAACGCCTTGATTATGAAGGTAGGACAGAGCTCTTAGTACAGACAGACAGACGGTAGCAATCTGTTCTTCATTCATTCTGGAATTAAGAATCCAACATATGAAAACACATTTTGCAGTAATGATGGGTTGTATCTAAAAATACTCTTAAGTTCCATGCATTTCAGTGGGTCTACTTTGAGCAACAATGGAGACAGCCTATTACTGTTTGAGACCCCCCCCCCCCCGCAAAAGCACAAGGTTCACAGAAGATCTTTTTATAGTCTGCTCAAAATACTGTCTTGGAGTGGAACGTTTCAGTTTATAAGATTACCATCGCCGTATGTGCATGCATAGGCTTTCTGGATGTCTGAGAGAGGTGGCTGTGGGACAGACAGGAAATGGAGCTGCCCAGGTTGCTGCGGCAGGAATGGGGGGCACTTGCGAGGGCCTGAAATCCATGAGGCTGAGAAGGGGAAGGAGCCAGTGTCTGGTCCACCAAAAGGAAGTCAGAGTGTGAGCTGACCAATGCTTCCAGGGTTCCTGCATCAGGGAATCTACTGAGGCGCTGTCCATGGTCCACTCATCTGGTGTGATCAATCTTCTTGCTTACACTGTTTATGTAAATGTTGCACACACTTCAGTAACATCTTAGAGGGAAGGTCATAAAACATTCAAACAACAATTAAGGAGTGTTTCTAATGAATCCAACCCTAATGACAGCACTTAAGAGAGAGTTTTCTGGAAGCATCTGTTTGCAATTAAATGCCTGTCAAAATATTTGGCATGGTGACTAACATTTCAGAAAATAGCTCTTAATGAGTGCTGAGAGAATTTTTAGTATGTGGGTTGAAGCTGAACGTAAAAATAGCCAGTGTTCCAATGAGACAAAGTCACACAGCAAATGAGACAATGCCATCATTCAGAACCAGTCACTGTGCAGGATTTGGCATGCCAACTTCCAGGCTGCACAGAGGTCTTCCTTGAGCAGGGTGTTTGGAGGAACTCAAGACAGAATGGGCCTGTGATTTAAGTGACTAGAGAACTATGGAAAGCTTTAACTTCCATATGTAGCTTCTCAGGTAAACTTAAGACCAGGGTATTTAAATCACATGGCTTCCTTGGCCATGATGGGAGCTGGAGTTTATTTATTTATTTGTCTGTTTATTTATTATATTAACATCCCACCTTTTTTCCTTCCAAGGAACTCAAGGTGACTTATATCCTTCTCCTCCACCACCTCTCAATCCTAATCCTCACAACAACCCTGTGAGGTAGGCTGGGCTGAGAGCCTGTGACTGGCCCAAAGTTGCCCAGCTGGCTCCATGGCTGAACAGGGACTAAAACCCAGGTCACCTGAGTCCCAGCCCCAGGCACTTAACTATGACACCACACTGACTCTAAACATTGTTGGAGGGTGTTAGGCTGGGACGGTTATTCTAAACCATGTGAGAAGTTATGTAACACACATTTGCTACACTTGGAGGCATCTGTTTCACAGAGCAGAGAACAGGTGCTGTAAACACCGCCCTCCAGAATGCCCATCCGCCTTCCAGAAATGTGATGAAACTCCTGCCCTTGGGCTGGGTCCAGGATCTGCCATCTGTGAGAGGAAGGGCAGCATTCACAGAGGTTCCCTCCAGCCATCTCTAAGGGCCCCTCCTCACCCACCGCATGGCGGCTCAGTGCATTCAGTAGGATCTCAGGCTTCAGTGGGTTTTTTGTGGTGGGAGGGCTGCCAAGGAATGGGGCGAGCCTGGAAGGCTCCCCACAGTTGATCCAGCAGGAATCTGGCTCTGACTCTTTGAATCTGGGACAGGTACATATGGTGAGGAAGTGAGACTACTTATTAAATCTCTGCTGCTTAATTTGGGTTTTTTGGGTGGTTTAGAAGAGCTATGCAATGTCAGCCACCACTCACATGGCTACAGATGGAGGGAGGTTTTAAGACTGCAGGGAAAAGGGAAAAAATGGATGTGAGAAATGTTCCATCTTGTAAAGAAGTTCAAGGAAAGGGATACTTCTGTTTCACCTGATGGATAAAGGAAGGCAGGAAGAATACCCTGAGCGGCAACCCACATAATAAGCACACTTTGCAAATCCTGTTCAAAAGCTTTGCTTTCACTATGAAGGAAGATCGGCAGGCTTGGCTGGTGAGAAGAGCCAGTTGCATTATAAATGGCAAGCTCTTCTCCTCTTCTTCTGATCAGCTGCCTTTCCTTCCAGCTTAAGACTTGCAGCAGACTTAAGGACTGCTTTTAAAGCTTTCCTAATGTATGTAGTGTGTGAACCTGGATCTGAATCCAGACAGAGACAACCTAGAGAGGATCTACTGAGATCCATGGACTTGGGCTAGCCCATGGCCAAGCAGGCTAAGTTCTACTGATCTCACTCCTCTACTCTAAAGACAACTCATGACCTTAAGGCATGTCTGTCCCTAGGACTTACCTTGCTGCTCCAAACTACTCCTCTGCAGGTGGAGCGCTTACTCTGCCCCTCCACAGTGCTTGAGGTAGCACTTGTGCAAGCTGATTCACATTATAGAAGTGGGCTAGCCCTTCAGGTGCTAGCTGGGCCCCCTGTGACTGCCTGTCACTGAGACTGATGCTGCGTGCCAGAGCGCATTCCATTGCACAGTCAGGTTTGCAAACCAAACTGGCAGTACAGCATGCATCCCTGCTTCACTACTTTAGGGATATATCTGCACAAGCTATGGTATGCAGTTCCCAGGTTGCCATAGAAACAGTGAGGGAAATTAATAGGAATTAGTGGTAGAGGATGAACCGAATTAGTATCCACTCCTTCATCTGTTCTTCCATTGTTACTGCTAGTGGCAGAGTGGCATAGCAGCACGTGCTTGTTCTTCTCCTTGACACCAGCTCATCCCCATTCCCCTAATGCAGGGTCTGGTGTCCACCCTGGTGTGATGTGGGCAGGGCACTGCCTTTCCATAGATGCCATGGTAGGATATAAGTGCAATAAACAAACAGACAAAAAGATAGGCAGCTGATCTCAGTTCATGCCAGTTGGAATGAGCTGGGAAACCCTGCCAGGAACACGGCAAGACGCCCTTCCCTGGCCCATCTAACCCAGTATTGTCCACACTGACTGGTAGTGGCTCTCCAGGGTTCGGACAGGATTGGTTCCTGGCCCACCTGCTGCAGACTGAATCTGGGACCTTCTGCATGCGAAGCATCCTGCACCCTCCCACCCAGTCAGGGTCCTTCCATAATGATGCGACAGCCCTTTCTACAAATTCAGAAAATGAGCAGTTTGCTCCCAGGGGTTGGTCTTCTACCAGGGTGTCCACGCCAAGCAAACCAAGCTCACCTGGTATGAGTCACTATGTCTGTCAAGGCACCGCCTTCCAGAAACTCCATCACAACCCACAGCTCATCACCCACAAGGTAACTGTTGTACATGTCGACCACGTTTTCATGATGATAGTCTCTCATTATGACAACCTGGAAGAAGATCAAAGACACCCGCCCCCCTGAAATGAATTTCTGGCTTACATAAACTCTCTGCCTCTCTTTTCTCCACCGGCACATGTCCAATTATACTGAGCTTGAGTTTTATCCAGATTTATGCTGGCTCAGGTGCCCTGGCAGAAGCGGTCTTCCCCACCACATCCCTTCCCAAGGCAGACCTGAAAATGCAGCACAGAAAGTAGGGGAGCTACCGAACAGGGTGAGTCACTGCCTGGGGGTGGAGGTGGAGGAGTGACGGAAATTCCCTTCTCTGCAACTCTCCGTGCACCTGCTTTCCAAGTGGATAGGAAAATAAATACCTGATGTTTGCTGGTCTGAAAATCCCATTTGGTAGATTTTCCTGCTTGCTGTGTTGAGATTTGCCCTGTGGTGTAACTGCTATTTTAATGCAGCTTGTACAGCACCCTGTGATTTAATCACGAAGGGCAGTATGCAAAGAAGAGCCTGCTGCACCCGCTTCCCTTGCATGCCTGCCTTCGAAGTCACGACCAGGTGCCTGTGTAGGAAGGCAGCAGCCCGGGGTGTGTGTGTGGGCGTGTGCATTTCTGTGAGGAGCACGCGAGAGAGCACAGCCTCGCCTGTCTTCACGGACTGACTCCTGCAAGGCAGCACGCCGTGACCACAGCCAGAGCTGCAGCAGGCCTCCTTGCTCCAGCGCCAGCAGCCACGTTCTGCTCCTGCTGCAGTGCAGCCATGCCGGGCAGGAGCAGCTTCAAGGAAGGATGCAGCTCGGGGGCCGGCACCTGCTTTGCATGCAGGTGGGCCCACCGGGTTTGAGGGCAGGCATCTCCGGGTAGGGCTGGGGAGAGTCCTGTCTGGAATCCCTGAGAGCCGCTGCCAGCGGTGTTGTCAGGGGCTGGCCTAGCAGGGTTGGAGCCCTGAATCTCCAAGGTGCCCTCTGCCCCATCCCCATTGGAGATGCCTGCTGAAATAAAGATACAGGGGCCTTGATGATTTCTGTTGCCTCTGAACATCCTGGCCTTTTTTTTCTTTCTTTTGCTTGGATGTGCTTCAATGCCTGCTGCTCCCTTCCACCGGACTCTTTCTGCCTCATTTTTTCTCAGATCAAATGGCCTCCTCTTTGCTGCCCCTAAGCCCCACTTTGCAAATAGGGGTGTCCCTAGGAGACAGAGTCCCCAACACACATGCAGACTTCAGAGCACACCTAAATGAGCATAAGCACATCTGCATGTGGGTGGGCCTGAGCCCTGCTTCTCTTCAGTCCCCTGGAATGGCCCTGGCTGGTGCCCCCAAAGTAGGGCCCACTGAGCTGCATGGGGGGGGGGGTGCAAGACAAGTTGCCCTGCACTGGAGGAGGGGAGGAGAGGGCCAATCCGTTCTGGCTTCTTTGATGTCGCCGTGCTGGGCTTTGCCCGCTTTGGCTTTCGGAACTTCGAAGAAGAATGGCAACTTCTGGGAACAGGCGCTGGAGAGTGATGTCTGAGGGACCGATCCTCTAGGGACCATTAAGTGATATCCTGTCACCTGGAGTTAAGAGGAAGCTGGGGTGAGAATGCTCCTGTTACAAGAAGGTGGAAGCATCAGGAGAAGGGTGAGCCAAGCAGAAGAACAGCTTCCTTGTGTGAGATGAGAGCACAGCTTGCAAAGCTGCCTATGAAGAGTGCAAGGGAAGCCAATATCACAATGAAGTGGATGGGGGACAGGAGTGGCTTTGGCTGTAGGATGACCATGTGTCCTACTTTACAGGGGATAATCCTTTGCTTGAAGAGCTGCCAGTCCAAGCCCAGTTCAAAAGGAAGAACCACAAGAAGGGAGAGGACCAGAGGCCTTGAAGATGCCCTGTCTTGGTTACCACCTGGGCAGAAGACTGGTCACCTGGTCACAGGCTCCCCATCATGGCAAGTTATACTCCATGTATTTGACTATATTTAAATCCTACCTTTTCCCCCACAAGGAACCCAAGGTGGCTTGCATAACCCCGCCCCCCTCCTCTGCATTTTATTAGAACAACACCACCAGGAGGTAGGCGAGGCTGAGTCAGTGACTGGTGTAGTTACTCAGTGGGTGTCATGGCTGAGTAGGAGACTAGAATGTGGCCCCAGTCCAACATGCTGACCCACCACACCATGCTGGCTCTCTATTTCTATTTGCACTTTAGTTCTTTTCATGATATTTTCTAGATTTGCTTTTACACACATGAATTAGCATATGCACATTTTATGCAAAATATGCATCTTCCTGTGTGTGTGTGGTGAAGGGGGGATGCATTTCCTCTTTTTCAGCAAGATTTAAGTGGCCACCCTTATTGGATGATTTAATTCCCTAATGATTGTGGAAAAGTTCTGGTTTGAGTGCATGTAGTTCCCTAAGAGAAAGGTCTATAGGAGGAGTAAGGAATGTGTGGCCTTCAAGATATTTTTGCTTACATTCCTCATTAGCCCCAGCTAGCAGAGCCAACTGCCTGCAAGAATTCAAATGGCAGGAGAAGATGGGACCAGAGATTCTAGTTCTGCTGGAGACACAGGCTGGAAGAGTTTAGCAAGAGGGCCATGAACAGAATAGGAGTAGAATGAACAGAAGCAATGCTTCCTTCTACTGCTGGAGCATGCCCAATGGCAAAGGGAGGATTCCCAGATCCTTGAGCTCCCGGGCCTGGTTAGCCGAGGGCTTGCTCAGGACACTGGAAGATGTCTGTCCCACACACACACACTTTCTCGTGGCTTAGCGAATGGCAACATGCTGGTGGCCATTAGAGCTGAGTCTAAGATGAGAACTATTTCAGACATCTACAAAGCACTTGCTGTCCTATGGTCTTCTTACCTCTACAATATTGCTGTGAGACATGGGGCACTCCGTTCATGATTTTAGCAGTGGGAAAGTGTGGTGGGCGCATACGTATGTGCGTTCCTCCCGTGGCTCAAGCTTTCCTCTTCTCTGAATCCTGGTCCACGCTATTCGTAGAGTGCTCTGCTGTCTAAACTAAGTCAGCGATGGCTGCTCCTGACCATGTTTTGCATCCAAAATGGGATCTGGAACTATGGAGAGTTTCTGATAGGATGTAAACTATGGTTAGCAGTAACTGCTTGGTTTGGCTGTCAAGCCCACAGTGGTTATCTTGAACCAGGAAAGTGGAGGAGGAAATCAACATACATGAAGGAGCATGGGAGGAAGATGAGATGCACAATCAACTCTCTTCCCAGGGATATTTGCCAGATTCTCTTTTCCTGCTTTTAGGTGGGAAGAATACTTCTTGTTTTATTTTGGGCTCTTGCATTTTATACTGTTTTTATTGCTTATTGACATGTCTGGCAGATTTTAATTATACTGATACGGTTGTTTTATGTAAGCTATTTGTAAAAAAGGAAGACCTTGAATAAAGGAACGTAAACATAAAATAATATATAAGAGGAAGCTTGTAAGTTTGGTTGTTTTATGTAAGCCATTTGTAGAAAAAATGACCTTGAATAAAGGACTGCAAATATAAAATAATATATAAGAGGAAGCTTGTAAGTTTGTGACTTGTTGCTGATGCTGAAGCTATGACAGCACCTTCTTTCTCTCCCTGCTCAACACCTCAATTTGATGTCTGAATTTAAATCATTTGGAATTGCAGGCAATTTGACTTATTTCATGCATTTTTATTAGCAGTTCCATTCCCTCATGAGATACGATGACCAAGAATTTGGTCTTTAAGCAATACTCCTGAAGGTGTCAGGTACAGATGGTGGCCTTCACTTCTCTGGGCCTGATCTCCAGGGAAGGACTAACTCAAAGAGAGCTGAGTGCATAGCAAAGTAAGAGAAGTCTTGCTTTCTAAGATATTTTCAGCACATTTATGTCTTTGGTCATTCATTTCATGCAGTTCCTGCATTTCTCGAAATAACCCGTAAAGTACGGTAGACTAACAGGGAAGACGAGAATTATGCTCCAAAATAGTTGGGGATATCCTCCAATAACATTCCCAGAAAAACTGCCGTGCCAGCCAGCACAATAGGAATTGCACTGGCGGTTGCTTATGCTATTGCAGTGTAATTTGTGTTAGCAATAACACCACATTGGATCATGTCCTTGGAATGTATCTGATTGGGGTAGGCTGGCTGAGAGCAGGCTGGATTTTCAGTGCGTTGTACTGAGATTCCGGGCACAATCTGGTGACAGGCTGAAGTAGCAGAGTGGCAGCATCTCCCCCTGGTTCCAAAAAGACTTACCTCATTGAAGAGCAGCTCCCTTCTCTGCTGCTTCCTGAGATCCATCTTCTTCACTGCAACTTGCTTCCCTGTGTGCTTCTCCGTGGCAATGCAGACAATGCCGGTGGAGCCTTCCCCGATTTTGATGAAGTTGTCCAAGTATTCGCGAGGGTCTCCAGGGCTCACCACCAGCTGCAAGGCTGCCCGGAACTGCTCGTGTGACACCCGGGAGGTCTGCTGGTCTGAGGACGAGCCCCAGCTCGGCGGAGGGTAAGCACTCGAAGTGATGCTGGGGGAGCTTGGGTAAGAAGCTGTGGAAATGTAATGCGAGCTTGGCTGCAGAGAAGGCTGGTGGTGGTAGTGAGAGAATTTGTGGTAGACAGCTGGGTACTGGTAGCCGCCGGCTTTGCTCTGGCTTTGAGGTAGCTTGGTTGGGCCTCGGGGGTAAGTGTCTGATCCAGACAGTGGCGGGCTTACGACCATCTGTGCCCGATCATAATCCAGCTTCAAAAAGAGGCAAGTCAACAAGTCAGCTTCATGTCCATGTAGGCATGGTGCCTCCCTAAATAATGGTGACGGGAGATGGATTACCGCACCAAGTTGGACCACCTCACCAAGACGCCAGGACAGGCTTCCTACGAGGGACACCTGTGGGCCATGTGAGCCTCTTACCTGCTTCCAGTGTCACCTGCAGAGCTGTACCCCACCCCAGCTTGGTTAGCATGAGCATGGTCAAGAGGACGCCCTTTGCCAGCACCAGTGTGGAGCTTACAAAGGACACCTTTCCCTCCACAGAGATCAGGAGGTAAGGGAATGGTTCCTCGCACTAGCACTAGCGCTCATAAGGGTAGCTCTGCCGCAATCTCAGATCCCTGCTGAGATAAGGCAACCCATTTCCTTGCTGGCACTACCAAAAGAAAGACTTGTCTGGTGGGGTGGTGGTGGTGAATGTGTGTCCGTAGGGGGAAATGTAAATGTGTCTGAGTGTGTGAATGTGTGTGTGCATGCGTTTGTGCACATATATGTGCACCCCTGGCAACCCAGCAGACACCTCACTCAGGAATAAAATGGTTGTGCACCTTTGCTTGAGAGCAGGGATGGTCAACCAAAGCTCGTGAGTCACATGTGGCCCTCGAAGTGTTTTTTGTGGCTCAGCATTGTGACCCGCAGGGACCCACTTGCTGCTCTCAAGCACCTGACATTTACCGTATGTGGGCCCTTCTGTTGAGCAACTCTGGCCATCCCTGCTCCAGAGCCTCACGTTGGCCATCATGTGCGGTCTGTCCCAGGTAGGACAACCTAGCTCCATTCCTAGGGATGCCTTTTTGCGGCATCTCTGCAACAGGACCAGTGACAAAGCTCAGGGATTAGGAGGCAAACTGGAGATGCCTGTAGCCAGAAGCACCAGGGACAAATCCCCCACCCCCCACCCCAATATGGTTTCCTATCTCCTGGCTACAGGCAGGCAGCCCCTAAGGCAGTGTCCCCTTTTAGGGGAGGGAGCTGGGGTTCTGCATTGCGTTGCTTGCAGAAGAACCAGGGTCAAACCCTCTCGTGGGGAAGATTTGGGGTGAGGCAGGGCTGGAAAAGCCATGCCCCCTTTCTCTTGACCATCTCTGTTTCGGTGGCTTTTGCACAGTTTCCCCCCATTCTGAAAGGCTGAAATGCCCAAAGGCTTAGGGAACTGCAGCAAGAGCAAAGCTAGGCTGCTTCAGTCTCATGGGCTTCCGTGCGATGGGTGCTCAGTTATTTTCCAGACGGAGACCCAGACATTTGAGTTATTAAAGCCTATGACAGGAATGCGTCTGCCTCTGCAGCCATTCTCTTAAAGATGACAGCAATCATTTTGAGACATCCGACGGCTGGATGGGAAGTGATCAGCTGCTTGCTCTATGAAATGACACCTACTGTTTTCCTGTCTAAAGCTGCCTGGGTATTTTCCTAGCATTTTGCTCAGTCTCAATTGCATTTCAGTACAATCTGTCCCAGCAGACAGTTAGGATATTAGGGCATGTAGCTTACAAATCTGCTCCATGCTTTATGCAGGAGAGAGAAGCCTATTCACAGCCCCACTCAGCTTTTGTAAACACACATACCTGTGCGTGCGCTCGAGTGCCCAGAGGCATTTGGCTGACCCCCATTGGAAAGGGAATGCTGAATTAGTTGGACTGCTCCATTCCTGCTTCAAACCAGCTGTCCCCAGTTTGATGGCCTTTAGAGGAATTTGGACCACAACTCCCAGAATTCTCATCCAGTGGGGCCATTGACTGGAAATTCTGGGTGTTACAGTCCAAACATGTCTGGAAGGCTGGGGAAGGCCCCTTCAAACAGAACAGCTGTTGATGCTGCTTGCTTGCTTGGTTGGGGGCCAGGCCATCCATGTGGCCAACTTGGGCGTGTACAGTGTATATACTGGATATACATCATGCTTTTTTCCATGTGCTATGTGAGGAGCACAGATAATACCTCCTGGCAGAGATGGGGAGGGGGAAGAGACAGGGATGGTTGCATGACATCCGCTGAAATGTTGATGTCTGGGAAGTGACCAAGGTTCCTACCCAGCAAAAGTCCATTGGTGCCATTGATGCAGCAACACTTGGCGCATAGCACATGGTTGGTTTCCTTGCCAATTCGCTTTGGTTGGCCACACAATAGTTGTTTGGAACTGTCCTCAGCTGGTCCAGAAAATATTTGCACTTGCCACCCAATCGCTAGAACAGAAATTACGAGAACTGTTGCCTTCATTCAAGGATGGGAAACAACAGGAACACTGGCCTGACCTGTCCTGCCAGAATTCCCAATCCTGTCCTCTGGGGTTTCCCAGGTGCTGCTGCCCCCTTCCCCTGGTGCCACCCCTCTCCCCCAGCAGTCTAACAGCTGGTTGCTCCCAGCATCTGCACCACTTCCTTCTCATTCCACAGGGTTGCACTGGCTGTCCAGAGAGCTTGCCTTCAGGCTGAAAGGGGTTCCCACCAACGCCTGAGATTCTGAGAATGTGGGAGCTATGGGAGATTGCACCCTTGCCATATCTTCATGTTGACCATTGTTGCCATCTTAATATGTCAAAGGGCAGGCATGAATTCGAGCAAGTACATTAAGCTGGGAAAGGATGAAGAAGGAGAAACGATCCTCAGGTACTTTAGTAGAATACTTCTCCAACACAGCAGTTTGCCCTTTCCAGCTCAGCATTTTCCAGCAGGCTGTGCTGTGGGAGATGAGACAGAAGAGAGCCATTCTGCCAGCCCTGCAAAAAGACAGCAACATTTTCCCTCTTCCCTCCACAAGCCCTTTTCCTTGTGTGTCATCTCTTTTAGGATTGTAAGCCTATAAGTAGGGACCATCTTGCTCTATTGATTGGAGGTAAGCTGCTATAGAAGGCTTTTTGGCTGAGAAGTGGGATAAAAATATTTTAAAAAACACTCTCTCACACACATGCACTTAGGGGTAGTTAATTAGGTTGCCATTCTATACCCACTTGCTTAGCAGGATTGCACCCTTAAAAGTTTAATAAGATGTAATTTTTCCTGCTTGATTAACTTTTGGGATGGACAGTGAGTAAATGAAACCAAATGCTTGCCCTTGGATCTCTGCTGGGTATCCCAAGACTGAGTACAGACTATTTCTAACATTGGATGAAAAACAAACTTGAAATGGCCTTTCCTTCAATTCTAGCCTGGAAGAGGTTCTGCGTTTAGAGGAGAATGACTGTAATGACTTTGGCCTGCTTGGAGCTCTTATCAGCAGAAATGTCCTGGGTTGAAAGTGTACCTTAGGCCTGCATGCAGTGCCTTGGCATCTCTGATCATCTTATATTCTTACTTCCAAAAAGCATTGGAAAGCATTGTACTATTGGAAGAGATGCTGAAAAGGGCAAGCAAGATTATCAGGGGGATGGAAGGCAAGCCCACAAGCTTTGGCAGCAGCTTTACTTGAAGGAAGAGGGCTAAGATGGAATGGGACAGCACATGCCAGCAAATGGAAATTGGGGGTATGTGGGGATCACCAGTGAAATGGCATTGGCAGTAAATTCAGTATTTATTATTAAAAGGATATCTTTACACAATCTTGTGGGCATGGTCCACAGGATTGGACCTAGGATGAAAAGAAGGTAGCTCTGAATCTACTGGTAGCTCCCTAGATGCTTTTGGAGATTAGCAAGAATTTATGATCACAGTTGTTTAACAGTAGTAGAAATAGCCCCCAGATTACTCTAAACTAAAAAGCTGAAATGAAGAAAACCTGGGGCAACCAGGAATGGATTTTTGTGCAGAATGACTGAACGCTGCCCAGTTCTGGTAATTGAAACACATTCCTGGGTGCAGAATTATGTCATTCAAATTATATATTTTTTGCACCATCCTCTAGTTGAATATTCCTATAAAAAGCAAAGCAAAGAACCTGCAAGCCTGAAATTTGCCCCCTCCTGGCTCAGTGACTTTAAAAGGGTTGAATACATGGAGTTGGATCTAAATATATTCATACTTACAGTAGACCCCTGAAATAAATGAGCATGTGGTTAGTGACAATTAACTGAAGTCCTACTGATTTCCACAGGTCTGCTCTAAGTATGACTAATCCTGGATGGAACTCATGAAGATACAATGGGTATCTATGTCATAATAGTGGAATGCAACCTTGCGATCCAGAGGTAACACACCACTGAACACTGGGTGTTGGGGGACAACAGCAGGGAGGTCTATTGCCTTCATTCTGTTCTTATAACCTTCTTGGAAGACTCTGGTTGGTCACTGCAGGAAATACGATGCTACAGAACGTGATTTGATCCAATAAGGCCGTTCTTAGGTTCTTTCTAATAGGAACCATTGGTGATTGAAGCTGCGAGTAATCCACTGAATTAAATGCCAGTGTTTAAAATATGCCCTTTGTACTTTAATCTACCACAGTTCTGGTGGACTGTGAGCTGGATGTATGGATATATGGATTTTATGTTCCATTTTGTCAAGGATCTTTCATTTTGTTGTCCACTTATGGATGAATTCAGATTTTGTGGAGAATTTGCTTGCAAACATACATTCAGACAAATGTGTAAGTCCTCAAGTATGCATTTGCCTAACCCCCCACCCCCTGCCCCAGCCCTAGTTCCAAAATTTAAAAACTCAGGTCTTCAAGTCCTTGGAATGTTCACAACTCTGAAAAAGCTAGTCCACTGCTGAATCTGCAGGTCATATTCATAGAAATTCAAGCTTCAATCCATTGCTGATTTCTCTGTCATCCTATTTGGAAGGCATTTGAACTATGGTATTTTATTTAAATTTGAAAATCTTTATGATTCTTCACATATATGCTGTTATTTAGTGATACTTCTACTGGATGGCAACATTGGTCCATCAAGTTTGGTATTTCCCAACCAAGGGTGTTGGTTCTTCAGGCTCCAAGACAGAGGTCTTTCTCAACCCCTACTACTAGAGATCTTTTCATGGGAGAAAGCAGGGAATAAACATGAGCTTGAAGAATGATCCTTCCTTCAGCATTTTCAGGAAGTA